AATGAAGAGCCACGTTCTTAACCTAACCCAAAAGGCCTCCAGGAAACTTACAGCCCTACGGCACATCTCACACCTTCTTGACAGCAGGGATTGCAAACCTTATATAAAGCTCAATTTCGCTCCGATCTTGAATATGCACCCTTCTCCTGGATTGCCTGCCCTCCATCGTTCATCAGAATTTTGAACAAAGTGGAGAACAGTGCAACAAGGCTCATTTCTAATCTTGATCAAGTCTAGTCTGAACATCAAAGCCTCCAACACCGTCGTGATGTTGGTGGACTTACTGTTATGTACAAGGTCAACATTCTCAAAGTTCCGCACGTGGCCCAACTTCGTGGACAACCAGTAGTTGGCACCCGTGACACTAGGCTCTCAGCCATCGCCAGTCTCATGCAGGGACTGTCTTTCTCAAGAACATCTCTCCATCAGCAATCATTCATTCCAAGGCTGACTCGAATTTGGAACTTGTTTGCTCAACAGGTTGATACACAGGTGATCAATCAGGTCAATCGATCACATGATGGCCCTGGCTCACAGTTGGGTACTAGCTCGTCTTGTTTCTTAAATGATTGTTACCAATATATAAATAAAGATCAGTCATAAAATAAATATGGTGCAGGCTTCAAACGAACTAAGGTAGGATAACAGTTTTTGCTGCTAGTTTCCGTAAATAGTTTTTTCTTATGTGATAGGTAATTAGTTTCAAATAATAATCTCATGAAATAAATGAGTCTCTAAGGGCAGACTTCAAATGAGCTGAGGTAGGATAACAGCTCTTGCTTGTAGTTTCACTAGGTACTTCAACTGACAGCCCTAATGAACCCTAGTCATAGTTTATAAAAAGAGAGAGAGAGAGAGAGAGAGAGAGAGAGAGAGAGAGAGAGAGAGAGAGAGAGAGAGAGAGAGAGAGAGAGAGAGAGAGAGAGAGAGAGAGAGAGAGAGAGAGAGAGAGGAGACTCCAATTAATGCTTTGAGGAGAGACCTAAAGTGACAAATACGTAAATAGACAGGGGAACAAACATAAATAGACAGAAGGGAAACAAACATAAGTAGACAGGGAGGGGGGGAAGAAACATAAACAGACAGGGGGGGGGGGACAAACATAAAAAGACAGGGGGTAACAAACATGGGCAGACTGACTGACAAACAACGAAAGACACAGATTGAGAAGCAGAGAGCAATTTAAGACAGATTGTCCAGTAATCCCTTAATTTTCCCACAGATCCATAAGTTCAGTGTAGTGGGAAAACATTCCCCCTAAAACAAGAGAAATATCAAATTTCTTGTGATAATACCTTGTTGTGCCCAGTTTGGGAACGAAACATATATATTGACGACAACACAGAACTGACGACACTGCTCAAAACGCCACGCCCACAACACCTGATCAATCTATGTATGTGTTTCCCCCACCCACCCTTTCTTCGCTTTATTCTTCCTTCTTTAAGCCCTACTCTTCACTTATTTGTATGTACCTGACCTGACCCCCCGAACGGGGGTATATATATATATATATATATATATATATATATATATATATATATATATATATATATATATATATATATATATATATATATATATATATATATATATATATATCCGAACACGGCATCCTATTTGCTACACAAAACATCGCATCATACTAGGCACCCCACTTACCCTTATCGTACCGTTCCTTCAACGCTCCTTTCCTTTCCTCTGGTTACCGTTACTTACTCTATCCTTCCCCTTCATCTTACCTGTTCCTTTTTCCCTCTTTTTCCTCCCTTCCCTTTACATTTTCATCCCCTTCCATTCCATAATTCACCTTCCTTGTTCTGCTAACTTCCTGGGTCGTAACTTAAAATGTTAAGACCCATGACACTTGTTGCTGGTGTATGTGTGTGTGTGATTGCTTAAGTGTAGTTACAGGATGAGAGCTACGCTCGTGGTGCCCCGTCTTCCCAGAACTCTTTGTCGTATAACGCTTTGAAACTACTGACGGTTTTGGCCTCCACCACCTTCTCACGAGTGCTATTTAATCGGGATGGTTTGGCACGTCTCCTGCAAGTTCCCTTCCTCTTCATGAAACATGGCTTTTATATGTTACTAAGAGCCCCGGCCTTCTGGGACACACCTTTTATATGTTACTAAGAGACTTAACCTCCAGGAACATTCCTCTTATGTATTATTAAAGAGCCCTGACCTCCTGGAACGGGCCTCTTATGTGTCACTAAGAGCCCTGAGCTCTTGTTTCCTATCTTTACATGCACCCCTCTCTCTCTCTCTCTCTCTCTCTCTCTCTCTCTCTCTCTCTCTCTCTCTCTCTCTCTCTCTCTCTCTCTCTCTCTCTCACTCACTCTCTCTCTCCCTAGGTCATATTTCTGCATATCGGCCAGGAGGGAAAGGTTGCATCTAGAACCCTAAAGAATTATCGCTCATGTATCGATGTAGAAAACAAACACATTTAAACAAACACATTCGCAGCGGAGGGTAGAGGACAGAGACAAACAAACAGCAGAACACAAGCAGTGTTTGTTTATGACGAGGGTAAACAGTTGTTTATAGAGGCATGACTGGTATTATGCTCCTAGTTTGTCTTTAGCTAACTTTTTGCCTAGTGTACTCACTTAGATGTGCTTGTTGACTCGAGTTCTAGCTCCAAAGCCACCTGAAGTTGGGCGGAGGTTGAGCTTAAGTCCCAGAGTGTTGAACGTCAGATCTGTGTATACACTAAGCCAGCTAAGGTTGGGATGTTGAGTTTAAACTACTGAACCCCATTCGGTAGATCTGTGAGTATGCTCATTCATCTGAGGTTTGGAGGTTGAACTTCATTTCTTGGGTCCCCTCACATTAGAGCTGTGTGAATGCTCATCCAGTTAGGGTTGATGGGGGATGAATATCAGCTCCTGCTCGCACCAAGGATGTCTGTATACTCATCTAGCCCTGTGTGTATATATACTGAGATTCCTTTGATCCTGCAATATATTTAAGAGAGGAATACACTTGCTGGTCTGTCAGTATTTGGTATAACGTCCTTAGTAACTCTCCAGAGGTTAATGGGCCGTAAGCCCACTGCCAAACCTTCCGGCTGAAAACGTTTATGGTAACTGCCGTGAGGATCACCTACGTCTCCAATAGCCATCCCTGCCACCCTGTTCTGTCATGTATCATACTGACCACGTCTTCTTTATTGACCGTATTCATTTCCCTAGCTAATCTTATATCTTTTATTATGTCTCGTCAAGTGCCGTGAGGTTCGGCTCCCTCACGTTCTCATACTGTGATTCATACAGCTCTGGCATGAATTATACGCATCGAACTTTAGCCTAATTTGGCTTTAGGCAGAATTATATTAACGTTTAATGCCGTTAAATATTAGGGCCTCACGTGCGTTATGTACAGTGTTCATATGCAACTGATATATATGGCTGTTAGTCACGTTCATAGAAGCCGATGATGCTATCCTGATTATGTGTGCCTCCGGTGCTAGGCTGTATGTTAACTCCCAGGCTCAACGGGTCTTCTTCCTCCATACCAGGATCTCACCACCTTACATTTGCCTGGGTTAAAGTCGAGTACCCATTTATCTTAACCTAATCATTATCCTAAAGATTACTACAGTCCTCGTGTTTTTAATCTTTTCATATATTGTGCATAGTCCACAAACACTGACGTGAAGTGTCTATTTTCTTAGGTAATTAACATATGCCAGGTAGGGTACAGGCCATAGTACTGACCCTCGGACTTACCATAGCCCGTGCTGCTTGGAGCTTTTTGTTCCAAGTAGCGAATCTTAAACAACAACAGTACTGACCCGTATTGTAGCGTAAATGTGACTTTCCTCCACTATTAGGCCTCTCTCCCCGCCATGACAAGGATGGCAGACTCAAGCGTCTATGACAACAAGGAACCTGCAGGGTCCAGGAACAACACTGTGTCGGGGCCAGTTCTCGGACCACCTCTGCAGCCTGTTTAAGTTATCTGGGAGAATCATACACTCCACAGCTGTCACAACCCTTCTCGCTAGTTTTGCGCCGTCTGCAAACATCGATTTATAAGACTCAACTCCAGTAGATAGGTCAGTTACATAAATGAGAAATATTATGGGTCCCAGCACCTATCCTTGAAGTTCTCTACTTGTTACCCTACTCCAGTCCAACTTCTCGCCCGTCACTGTGACTGCCTGTCGAGTTAGTGAGAGATTTGGCACTTGTTTGGCAGTCCAGAAATACAACAATTGTAAACATTATTCGTCCTGCCTTATTTTAGTTATTTTATAATATAACTAATTGGTTCGTCAGGCAGGATTTTACTTCCCTAAAGTCATGTTGATGTTTGTTTGTATACCTAATTCTCACTAGGTGTGCAACTAGTGTCATCCTTATTATTTTTTCGAGTACTTTGCAGGGAATGCTTGTCAGTGCTTGTGTGTCTGTACACACCTAGTTGTGCTTGCGGGGGTTGAGCTTCGGTTCTTTGGTCCCGCCTCTCAACAGTCAATCTACTGGTGTACAGATTGCAAAGCTTCTCGCGCTCTATCATAGTGTGTGTGTGTGTGTGTGTGTGTGTGTGTGTGTGTGTGTGTGTGTTTGTGTTTGTGTTTGTGTGTGTGTGTGTGTGTGTGTGTGTTTGTGTGTGTGTGTGTGTGTGTGTGAGATAATGACAATAACTAATATTTGAACATGGAAACATATAACAATAACAAAAAAAACTTGAAGCAAAACATGTTGGTCACGTATTACATATTTGTTAAGCCTTCAAAATATCAGTATCATGATATTACATATGCTTGTAAGCCTCAAACAAGGCCTTTGTTCCAAGCTTCAAGCAAAATATTTTGGATACGTTTATCAAATATTTTCATGCTCCACTGTTATTTTTAAACCACATTTTATTTATATATCTCAACTACAATAATTCCCAATAACAAAATTGCATTTAAATGCTTGTTTTTATCCCAGATTAAATATTGAGAAATTTGTGGGATTAATACTATACATATATTTTTGTTTCAGTTTGGCTTAGTGTAAGACTGGCTGAGAAAGGAGTCCTGTGATTGGCCGAGCCTTCACCGCATCGTCGACCAATGGGAGGCCTCCTTGAGTGGACGCTGCTTTCCCTCCTCTTTGTCCTTTGTGAGTTGTTTTTGTGATTTTAATTAGGCTTTTGTGTCTTATAGTTCTTCTTTAGAATCTTATGATTCATCCTTTTAATTTCTTATTTGTCATCTTTATCGTCTTATCTCATTTTCTTTACCTTCCTGTCTATCCTATTCATTACCTTGCCATCAATTATTTTAATCTGATCTGTGATCTTCATTATTTTCCTATCATCTTCTACCATATATTCCTATCTATCACCTTCTTCTCCATCACCTTTATCTTCTTCATCTTCATCTTATTATTTTTCTTCTTCGTTGTCGTCTTCCACTTCTTATCTTCTTGTTCTTTTAGTTTCATTGGTTCTTATATTAGTCTCTCTCATAATAAATATTTCTGCTGATTCATCTGCTTCTGTTCGTATTTCTTAGTTTTACCGATTTTATCTACTTTAATGAGTCGCAAAACTCTGCATATATATATAACACACACACACACAACATTATACATATATATATATATATATATATATATATATATATATATATATATATATATATATATATATATATATATATATATTTATATATATACATATTTAATATACAAAAAAATGGTGTACCCGGTTGTGCTCAGGTCTCTCTCTCCCCCTTTACACTTTCCTCTCTCTTCCCTTCTGCAATCTTTCCTCTTTTCTCCCCTCACTACTTTTCTCCCCCTAACATCCTCTTCTCCTCCTCTTTACCCCCCCCCCCTTCATCTACACCAAAAGCCCCCTTTCTCCCAATCGCCCCCCCCCTCTCTCTCACTTCTTCTCCTTGCATTTTCCCCTATTTACTTTTCTTCCCCTCCTCTCTCTTCCCTCTCCTTCGCTCCCCCCATCCCCCCTCTCCCCTCTTTCCCCATGCCACCCAGGTAAACAACACGAGAGTATAAAACTGCAGGGAAAACACAGCCCCTGGTTATATTTTAGAATTCATGAAAATCGAAGGTGGGGGAAGAGTTATTTAAGATGCAGATAATTTTTAAGGCATTGTACTTCGGCCAACCTCGATTAGTCTATGACACTCATAGATTTCCCCATGTGTTATGTCTGAAATTTGGGTGAGGCTAGCCCTAAGCATCTGGCCTCCTACTGTGGACACACAAACATCGTAAGCTCTCTGAGTGGCCAGTATGGCAAGCTCTCTTGTGTGGCTAGTAAGCCAAGCTCTATGAGTGGCTAGTAAGCCAAGCTCTATGAGTGGCCAGTAAGCCAGGCTCTCTGAGTGGTCAGTAAGCTAAGCTCTCTGAGTGGCCAGTATGTCAAGCTCTCTTGTGTGGCTAGTAAGCCAAACTCTATGAGTGGCCAGTAAGCCAGGCTCTCTGAGTGGCCTGTATGCCAAACTCTGTGAATGGTTTCGGAAAGGTATCATATTAGAACTGTTTTTAGCTGTATTGAGAGCGTGTGAAGCGGTAGAGGGTTGTTCGCAAGCTAATAATATATTTCTTAAATGTGCTATATTTTAACTAAATTTAAAGTTTTTATGAATTTTAAGCTTATATAATATACTTCATGATTGTAGTGTAATTCATATTTGTAGTATATTTTAGCATTGTAATATATTTTAGAATTGTAGTATATTATTATACTGTAGTATATTCCAAACAAAAAATTGTTCTTCGCTCCAACATTTCCTAAGGAACAATATAATCCGCCCTATCAACGAACCTTTGAATTAGTTATCAATAAGGCTGTAAATAATACTCGAATGCCATCATTTTAGCAGCGAAACAAGAGATTAAACGCTCACAAAGAACTATTACCTTGGCGCACGCGAAAGGTTACTGACACCGCCAACACGTCAGCGCGATATATTTCGCGAATTGCGGCCTTTGTCATGTTTGGAGGAACATTTTTCTCCAGCGGTTAGTGATACCGGAAATTCATTATCGCAAAGTGGTTTTATACATTCTGATCTTTTATTTGTAATGCTGGTAACATGCATGTAATTATCATAATGGCATTATAAGTATTGTCCTGGAGCAATAATAATAATAATAATATATATATATATATATATATATATATATATATATATATATATATATATATATATATATACAATAAGCGAGAATATATATATATACAATAAGCGAGAGAATGTTTGTCTGTTCGAAACTGGAGGTGAAACACGCCTGGGGCTAGGCTCAGCCAAATTGTCAGAGGGATTGGTCTGGCATAAGGGAAGCTAGAGCATAGGCAGGTCGGAGTCGCCAGAATTCAAGAGAGAACAGCGTGCCAGGGCCTCATTCAGACCCCCACGATGATTTTTGGCACTGACCGCCGGCTACACAACTAAATATTTTCAAAACTTAAATAAGGATAGGGTGAGGTGACTGTTGCCTGACTCAGGCTTCTAGCTGTCCGCCAGGTCTGCCATCTTCCCTCTCCATCGATGGAGAACCATCTGACAGCAGTATGCTCGAAGGAAGACATTATAGTGTTATACAAATACATTTACTCAGGTATATAAAAAGGATGAAAAGGCGATACGAGATATAATTGACAGGTAATTGTAGACCTTGCAGTGAAAACGCAAGGATTCGTCTTCGGGATTCGTCGAAGGCCAAAGGGTGATGTTAGTCTGTTGGTTTTACTGGCTTGGCATTTGCTGTGAAGACAATGCACACAGGAAGCCAATGAACAGTGGATAGAAGGAACAGTGAAGACGAGGAATATTGAACAGGAAGATAAAGAGCATTGAAGACAAGGAAAAGTTAAAACAAGGAATAGTGGGAAAAGGAGGAGTGGAGACAAAGAATAGTGGAGAGAAGAAACAGTGAAGACAAAAAATAGTGAAGACACGGAACAATTAAAACAACGATCAGTGAAGAGAAGGAACGGTGGAGACAATTAAGGAACGGTCAAGAGAAGGAACAGTGAAGAGAATAAGCAATGAAGACAAGAAACGGTGAAGACAAAGAACAGTGAACACACATACACACACACACACACACACCACACACACACACACACACACAGTCCCACACACACAACACAACACACACACACACACAGTCAGAGATGGGCAGAGGTTCTTCCACCCCTATGCCCCTGTTACCTAGCAGTAAATAGGTACCTGGAAGTTAGTCAGCTGGCACGGGCTGCTTCCTGGTGTGTGTGTGTGTGTGTGTGTAGGTGTGTGTGTGTGTGTGTGTGGTTTGAAAAAAAAAAGTAGTAGCAGTAGAAACAGTTGACTGACAGTTGAGAGGCGGGCCGAAAGAGCAGAGCTCAACCCCCGCAAGCACAACTAGGTGAGTACACACACACACGAGCACGTACACACACACACACACACACACACACACACACACACACACACACACACACACACACACACACACACACACACACACACACACGAGCACGCACATACACATTCACTCACTTTCCCAGAGTAAAAGTCTTTCCACAATGTTCCTCCTCATTACGAGATTCCTTATCAAGTTTCTTAACATAATTACACACGATTAAATTTTATTGTAGGTCTCATTTAAAATGACAAAATAATCTTCTAGAAGTTCCCTTTAGTTTTCCTATCCTTCTTTATTCTAATTATCAATCTCCCCCCCCCTTTACATTTCTCTCTCTCAGTTCCCCCTTCTTATTTTATCTTTCTCATATGCAATTCTCCAGGTTCCTTATCCTTATTCTGCTTTTAATATTTATCGTTTCCTCCCTCCCCCTCAACATTTCCTTTCATTCAATTCTTGGTTTGCATTCTCGCTCTTCTCCCTCTTCTATCTTTGTTTTTTATCAAATTATATCAGTATTCTTAATTCCTTTTGATGTGTCGCTTCTCATTCTTCTTCCAACACTTTCACCCTTTTCCATATTTCTCACTTCTCTCTTGTCCTCTTCACCTACCTCATCTACCTCCTTCTCATCTCCCTTATCTCTTATTCCTTCTCCTACTCCACTAATCCTATTCCACCACCTCCCTTCCTCTCCCCTAGACGCCCCCCCCCTCTCCTCTACCATCCCTTCCTCTCCCACACATTCCTCGCCCCACCTTACCCTTCCTCTGACCCCCACCAACCGCCCTCCACCCCACTCTCAACCACCCGCCTCCAATTGCCCAATCGCTCCCTCTCAAAGACACCCCCACCCCCTCTCTCGCCCCCACCCAGGTTCTCTTCTCCCACCTCTACTCCCGCCTGTGCCCTCTACCCCCGCTTGCTTTGATCATGGTGGTCAGTTACCAGGGTTCAGCCAGGGTAAACACCACCGGGTCACTCTCAACCTGCCCTTGTTATCTATACACCCGCTGGTGCACCTCACTAATTGACTCTTCTCCACTTGTAGAAATGTGTGTGTGTGAGAGAGAGAGCACAAACAGCACCGCTCCTGTGCCGGGTAAGTCCACTACGGGCTCACCATAGTCCGTGCTACTTGGAACTTTTTGTTTCCAGTAGCTGAATCTTAAACAACAAGAGGAAAAGAGAGAGAGAGAGAGAGAGAGAGAGAGAGAGAGAGAGAGAGAGAGAAGAGAGAGAGAGAGAGAGAGAAGAAGAGAGAGAGAGAGAGAGAGAGAGAGAGAGAGAGAGAGAGAGAGAGAGAGAGAGAGAGAGAGAGAGAGAGAGAGAGAGCAGACAAAATATGGACATATATATAAAACAAACAAAGACTTTCCCTAATGTTCATATTCGGGTTTTTAATTATTCGAACGATATCCTAGCAAGATAGATTTTTTTTATTTAAATATATATATTTAATAGCGCGTACTTGGATGTTTCGTGGAGCGGAAATGTCCGGATGAGCGAGAGTCAACTTTTAAATAAATTCACAAATATTCTGTACAATTACTGCAGTTATAGGCGACAAAATTTCTACAAAATCTCATAGAATATTAAGTGTTAATGCTGCAACTTAAGAAAGGAACTGGCACACAGTTTGGCTTCTTGTTCCCCGAGTTGATTGTCAGACCGCAAGTGGTGCAACAGCCTTACTGGAAGACACTGCAATGAACCAGGTGCAGAGCGCCCTCGTTACTGTATGGTAACGCCCTCGTTATTGCATGGTAATGGCCCTGTTACTAAATGGTAACGGCCTCGTAACTGCGTGGTAAAAGTCTCGTTACTGCATGGTAAAGGCCCCATTACTGCATAATTATGGCCTCATTACTGCATGGTAACGGAAACGTTACTGCATGTTTAAAGCTCCGTTACTGCAAAATAATGGCCTCTACGTGATTAAGGACTCGTTACTGCATGGTAACGGCCTCGTTAAGACAATATGATGGTAGTGGGGTTTCCAACTGCGGCAGTATGATCGTTGAATTTCCAGTTGGGTCAGTATGAACACAGCAAAGCGGAAGTTCTTGTTAAGGCGAAGTAAGGCAAGCATGGAGGAGTGTTTGGCGAATATGTTAAATATTCGCAAAAATATAAAACACAACATATTCGTAATATAAACATTATACAAGGAGAGGAAGAGAGATTTCACTCGTGAATAAATGGATTTTTATTTATTCACTCGTGAATAAATAAAAAAAGCGCCCAGCCATAATGGCTTGGCGCGTTCCTCTGATAGTTTCCTTTCTTCCTTCCATCGCCAAAAGCAACCTATGAATAACTCATGAATAAACACATGCATACACACACATGATCCATTACTTCACGAGTGAAGTCTCTCCTCCTCTCCTTGTATAATATTTATATTTACGAATATGTTGTGTTATATATTTTTGCGAATATTTAACATATGCGCCAAACACTCCTCCTCTATGCTTCCGTGTCACTAGGGAAGGTAATGTGGTTGTTGCTCATGTTCAGAAAAGTATGGAAGTTCAACGGGGGATTACTTTGTTAATACCTGTATGACCTTTGGTCCTTTTCTCTTGGCTGATGCCTAACCTGATACGGCGAAGCAACATATTCTCCAGCCTTAACAATGAGTCAAATACTGACTTATGAAGACTGTAGTGAGTCAGTATTTGACATATAATGTAGACATACAAGCAAAGTTGGATGAGGCTAGCCCCCAAGCGTCTGGCCTTCTACTTTCGACAGACAGACAGTCTGTGTTATAGATGTAGATAACTGTAATATCTTAAGTTCAGGACGTGTTTATTTATACGAGCCTGTCTATTGACCGCGTTCTGTAGTGAATCATAAAGTAATGTAAATATTCTCTCTTTCTGTCTCAGCAGGCGGGGCAGGACTGGCCCTCCAGATCACAGGTATTGGAGTGCCACCAACTGCCATCAGTGGAGACACTGTCACTTTGTCGTGCTCCTTCGAACTCAACGGCGACGAGCTCTACTCTCTCACCTGGTGGAAGGACGACAAGATGTTCTTCAATTACGTCCCCAACAGCAGTCAACCCAAGTCTGTTTACGCTACGCCCGGGATCACAGTTGATGTGAGTAGACTGTGGGTCTGAGGGCGGGTGGGGGTAGATGGGACGGGAGGAGGTGGATGGGTGCGGGTGGATGAGGAGGGGTTGTGGGTGGATAGTGAGAGGTTGTGGGTGGATGAGGAGGGGTTGTGGGTGGGGTAGTGAGAGGTTGTGGGTGGATAAGAAGAGGGCTGTGGATGGATGGTTGTGGGTGTGAGTGGATGGGTGTAGCTGGACGAGGTGAAAAAAAGAATAGGTGTCGTATGCTAGTGGTATCTGGTGAGTACTAGTGACGGGAGTTGACAATGTATGGGTTGAAATTAGAGGGAGAATAAGTAGTGGGGTTCCAGGACGCTGGTGAAGGATTGAGGTTAATTCTTACGGAATCAACCAATCCGTTAAAAATACAACAAATTAGTAAAAATTAAAGCACCGTTATAGTGCTCTCTATGCAATGCCCTCGATAGGTTAGGTGGGTTGCTTGGGTTCATACCTTTCTGTTTGAGCAGAACAGTTGTTTTTTATGGAATGGCAAATAGAGAAAAGTAGAGGTAGTGTGTAGAAGGTAGGTGTTGTGAATGAAGGGAGGAGCGGGAGAGATAAACGTGAGAGATAAACATGAAACAAATATGATAAAACATTGCACGCAGGAAAATTTAGGCAAAATCTAACCCATCGCCCTTTTTACTAATTTGCATATTTTCGGTATAAAAAATCGTAATTTAAAACTCCAAATACCTGCAATCACCCTGAATTCCGCTCAGAAATAATGCTCAAGAGTCATATTTCTGATAGACATCGTATTTTGAAAACTGCAGGGGGAGTCTATGACTTTTTATACCGAAAATATGAAAATTAGTGAAAACGGCGATGGGTCAGATTTTGCCTAAATTGACCTGCAGTTTACAAAATACGATGCTTATCGGAAATATGACTCTTGAGCATTATTTCTAAGCGGAATTCAGGGTGATTGCACGTATTTGGAGTTTTAAAAGTCTCACAGGAGAAAGTGAGACAGAGCAATGAAATATTGCAGTATGCAATAAAGTGTTAATTTGCCGTATAATTTTATTAATATAACACTGCAATTATTTAAGAATTTCTTTGATGTAGTTTCATTACCTGCTCATTTGTATATCTGGACATATCCTTGCCGTACACAAAATTTTCAATTTGACAGTAATTAGTGAGTGTCGACTCACGTAAAACAATAAGACTTGGAATATCTACGGCTAGGTCCTTCTATTTAACGTTCTTCTAATTACTGTTTCCCATTTTGGGGATAGGAAGCCTGTTAGGTTTACCAAGGTCCTACCTGGGTCAACGACTGACCTTTCCTATGGTGAAAACAACAGTTGCCTAGTTCCCGAGTGCCTATTTACTGCTAGATGAACAGTGATGTCAGGCTTACGGGCTATTCATGCCCGTGCCACCTTTAGGGTAGCTTAATCTTTATCAATCGAGATATCAGGTGAATGGTAACATAGTAATATGTTACTATGTTAATAATAACCTCTCTGTCCTGCCCGGAAAATAAACAGAGATATATTTCAGCTGTGCAGCCCGTCCTCCTAAGGTTTCCCAACGTCAAGAAACTGTCGTACTAAAGTGCCCTTATCATAACCTACCAGGAAATACCCAAAGCAGAAAACGGGACAGTGTCAATTTCGCGAGCCGCTACCATTTTCTGGTACAACGATTTTTGGTAAAGTGTGCGTTATAAGGTGACGCTGTGTCAGGAGGACGGGTGTGAACCGACTATGTTGGCCACGCTCATTGTAATCAACCTTACACTTACTTAGGGGGTCTCGTAGCCTGGTGGATAGCGCGCAGGACTCGTAATTCTGTGGCGCGGGTTCGATTTCCGCACGAGGCAGAAACAAATGGGCAAAGTTTCTTTCACCCTGAATGCCCCTGTTACCTAGCAGTAAATAGGTACCTGGGTGTTAGTCAGCTGTCACGGGCTGCTTCCTGGGGGTGGAGGCCTGGTCGAGGACCGGGCCGCGGGGACACTAAAGCCCCGAAATCATCTCAAGATAACCTCAAGATTACTAGAACTGGATTCCAGCAATCTTTTGCAGGTCTAACTCTGCAGCCTTCCTGAATTATTAGGAAACGTTTGCCTATCCGGAATACAAGACTATCCTCATGTTACGTTAGGTATAGGACTCTACCCTCATGGTTATGTTAGGCTAAATTAGGTAAAAGACTAACTTCATGGTTACTTCATTGATATAAATCAGGAATATTATAAATCCTAGGAGAGATCTTTTGGGACTCCCTATGTTACCTTTTGCCAATCTCACTAATCTCCCGCCATTGAAGGGGATTAGTACTCAGTTTCGTCCGCTGTTTCTCAAGTTCATGGATTAATCTTGTATTCGAAACAGTTTCAAAAGATCTTTTATTTCGTGATAGTTTAAAACTAATTAGTATGTTGGCACATCACACTCATGCCTTAGTGTTTTCAATTAGTTGTAGAACTCGAATAGTCATTAAGCACGATTTCCCTTCTTTAAAACCTTGTTGGTGCTTGTTTAAAAATCTAATTAATTCTATGTGGTCAACTAGTCTTATCGCTATTTTCTTTCAAGTATTTTGCAGTGTATGTATGTATGTATGTCTGTGACACTGACCTATAACTGTTGTTCTCGTGCCTGTTCCCTTTCTTAAAATAGTGGGAGCACATTAGCTGTCTTTTAACTGTTTGGAAACTCACTCGTCGTTGTTTATGTGTTCAATACAGAGGCATATTAAGAACCTTGTAGATTATTTCCCTTTTCATGGTATGTGTAATTGTGAGAAGAGAGTGCGCGCGCGCGCGCGCGTGTGTGTGTGTGTGTGTGTGTGTGTGTGTGTGTGTGTGTGTGTGTGTGTGTGTGTGTGTGTGTGTGTGTGTATGTGTGTGTGTGTGTGTGGTAATGGGAGTGTATGCATGTGGGTAGGGGACAGGGAGGGAGAAAGGTAGGCAGAGGGAGCACTGATGCTGTACCCAATCTCTAACGGCAAAAATAAACACGAACAAGCTATTCGACAATTCGAGGTAGTTTGCGAGGCTAGTGATTCACCGAGCTAACGAGCAAGCCAAACACACCGGGAGGTCAGTGCCCTCCCATTCTGGTGTTTGCAGATCATAAAAGTATCAAGAAAATGTTTGTGTGCTTGTAAATATCACACACACACACACATAGGGGGGTCTTGTAGCTGAGTGGACAGCGCGCGGGACTCGTAATCTTGTGGCCAGGGTTCGATTCCCGGTGCCGGCAGAGACAAATGGGCAGTTTCTTTCACCCCGATGCCCCTGTTACCTGGCAGTAAATAGGTACCTGGGAGTTAGACAGCTTTTACGGGCTGTTTCCTGGGGGTGTGTGTATGTGTGAAAAAAAGATTAGTTAGCTAGTAGTAAGTAACAGTTGATTGATTGACAGTTGAGAGGCGGGCCGAAAGAGCTGAACTCAACCCCCGCAAGCACAACTAGGTGAATACACACACAAATTGGGGACAAACATGGAAATTGAGTACCCAAATGTGCCATAGAGACATTAGAAAGAATTTTTTAGTGTCAGAGTAGTTGACAAATAGAATGCTTTAGGAAGTGATGTGGTGGAGGCAGACTCCATACACAGTTTCAAGTGTAGGTATGATAAGAGCCCAGTAGGCTCAGGAACCTGTACATCAGTTGAGTGACAGTTGAGAGACGGGACCAAAGAGCTAGAGCTCAACCCCCGCAAGCACAACTAGGTGAGTACACACACACACACTGCACTGAACTACTAAGGGTCGATGAGCGGGGGCTCAAAAGCAGATGCTCACCCTGCAAGCACAACTGGGTGAGTACAAGTAGGCGAGTTTACACACACCCGCACCACACTAACCTCTCCCTCCCTCTCCATTGTTTTAGGAAGGGATCTCGACTCTTCACGAGGTGGTCTTGTCTCACGTGGACCACCGCGCCTCGGGCAAGCTACGCTGCGAGGTACTGGCAGACAAACCCACCTTCGAACAGGACACTATGGACGCCAACATGACTGTCATAGGTACGTGTGTCCATGTGTTTCAGGCGTCCATGGATCGTGGCTGTTGTACATGGGTATGTGTGACAGTGCTTTAGGCGTTTGTGGCTGTTGTATATAAGTATGTAAGGCGTTGTTTGAGGCTCCTTTGGCTTGAGGCTGTTTTATATATATATATGTGTGTGTCCGTGTTTAAGGCATACATGGCTCGTGACTGCTGAATATATGTACGTTTGTCCGTATTTGAGGTGGCTCGTGGCTGTTGCATGTATGTACGTGTCAGATTTTGAAGCATATGTTGGTTATAGCTATTGTATATGGGTAGACGAGTACATACATACATAAGCCGCCTAGCTGTTGTTGTTGATCGCTGCTGTATATAGGTGCGTGTGTTCGTGGTTGAGGCGTCTGTGGCTCGGCTCTTGTTTAAGGCAATGTTTTCGTTTCTGAAGTACAGAATGGGGAACCACATGATTCACTCGTTTTTACCCCATTAAGGTATACCAATAGGCCCTTTCCTACCCTACATTCCCAAAATGTATGTACCTCTTTTAAAATTAGCTATGTATGCTACAAGTGTTCGTATATTGGTCAAAATACGTGTCATATGTATTTAAACACGCACTATTATATGTATTAACTGCATGTATTAAGATATGTTTGCCGTGATATATTATAATTATGTTGCGCGTGATAATAATAGCTTAATAAACAAATTAAGTACCTACTATGTAAACATTATAAATAATCTCTCTGTAATATCTTTGTAAGAAATTAAATTATGATAAGTATTATTTTTATTATTATAATAATAATTATTATTATTTAGTGTTTGGATGAGGCTGCGCTTAAGGCTAGCCTACCGTAATCCCTCTCTCAACACTGGATCACAGTACAATATAAAAAACTATATTATTACCTCGCATTTTCATTCAACTTTTTAATAACAACACAAAATACATTTTCAAATACTAATTAGACCGTGTAATCAGCTCAGTCAGATTTCTAATAGTTTCCTTTGAATTTTTTAATAGTTTCTGGAAGCAAACAAAGGTCTCTTCCGGCCGTAGAACTAGTTGCACCTTTCCGTTGCCATTGTCAGCCTCTGCAACCAAGTAATTACCAAGCACTCTTATTTTTACATATTAAAATCTCGAGTCGTAAAATCTAGTTCATTTCAGGCGTAAAAAACCTCGTTTAATATCCCTCTCAGAAGCCCGGTATTAATACACAAGAACGACAACATATTCAATACGCATGTGCAACCACTGCTCCAGAACCCGGCTCGGAGATCTCTATATTAAGATTAATGGACATGCTCCAGGGGGATCGTGTTCGTACTAAGGATTTCGCTGTCCCGACGCATTTTAAAGAGTTCAATTTATATTCAGATTAGTCTTGGAGCGAGAACATAGAAAACTGGAGGTGGTAGGCTATGCTGCTGGCATCTTATCACCGGAAGCTCATGTTAGGATAGTGTCCACCACTCACCAGACCACCATAAGGCCATAAATTATAAATAAATTATGTTGATGTATTAAATTGTGTATATTTAGGTTGATGTATTAAGCGGTGTGTGTAGTCAGCGTGATGTATTAAGCAGCACAGTGTTTAGCCAACTTGATTTATTAAGTAGTGTTTGAAGCCAGTTCGATGTATTAAGCTGTATGTGTAGATGAATGTGTAGCGGTATGGGTTGATGAACCTTAGTGAGGATTCTAAGCGCTGACTTTCAAGGAGTGTCGGCGAGGAGTGTCCTCGTTGAAAGCTTAAGCTTAAAACGAGGAAATTTACAAGGACTCTTAGTGAGGACACTAAACGAGGACTTTCAGTGAGGACATTTAGCGATGACTCTCAGTGAAAACAGCAAGAACTCTCAGTGAACAGAGTTAGCGAGGACTCTCAGCGAGGACTCTCAGCGTGAACACTTAGCAAGGACACTCAGTGAACACAATTAGTGAAGACAAAGGGAGGAGAGAAACGAAAGTAATTGAAAACGAGTATTCTTTTGCAATTCTTTGAGGATAGAAGCGAGTGAGCAGCGAAGACGGGTAACGAAAGCTAGTAACGAGGACAGGTAATGAAACCATATAACGAGAATAGATTGTCAGAACGAGTAAAGATAACGAGAAGCGAAGACGGGTAAGGAGAACATGTAGCGGGTAATGAGAATGAGTAACAAACAACGAGAACGAGTAACAAGGGCGGGTAGCATAAACGTGCAGCGGTTAACGAGAACAAGTCGCGGTTAACGAGAACAAGTCGCAGGTAACGAGAATAAGTTGCGAATAGCGGGAAGAAGTAGCTGGTAACGAGAAGAAGTAGCGAGGGCAGGTATAGAGAGTTAAGGTGCATTAAAACAAACACCATCGGAGTTTTTGACACCAAAAGGCTTTCAGGGTTTTGCCCGCCAAGTCTGTCTCGTGGTGCCTCAGTCCCGGACCTGTGCTGGTTGGGGAGAGTGTTGGGGGAGTATTGGGGGAGCGTGTTGGGGAGAGTGTGAGGGAGTGTTGGGGAAGTGTGCTGGGGAGTGTGCTGGTGTGTGCTGAAATGACGGAGAGTGGAAAGAGCTCTCTGGATGCCCTTCACAGATACAATCCATTCTGGCAGTCCCTTCCCTGGTAGTTTTAAACTTTACTGCTTCGTGCACCCAAACAATTGAAGAACATTACAGCATGTTCGCCTCAGTGATGCTTGTTTACCGAGACGCAAGAGATATTCCCCCAACCTTTCCCGTCGGAGCTTCTAGAAGTGTCTAGTGGTGTTTTCCAGTGCAGGTCTTTCCAGGTCTTCAAAAGTGCGTTCGTTGATTTTTTCACTAGGGAAATACAGAAGCATGTTTGGAGGTGTTTGCCAGTGCAAACCACCAGTTCAGAGCCCTAAACGACTATTCATGCTTCTAAAGACTGTTATTATGTTCTTTAGTTTTCCATTCGCTGCCAATATTATCCCATTTTAGCGTGTCTCCGTTTCCTTTTTCCGAAATTGGAATTTACATGTCCTTAACGGTGAAATGTTATTCCGGTCATATTTCATCTTCATTACGTTGCACTTGATGAGGTTAAATTCACTCCGTTTACTGGAGCAGTCCTGCAATCAGCCCAAATCCTCCGGAAGTGTTCGTCAGTCATCTCGCCCTTAGTCACTCTCGTTAGCTTTGCGTTCTATTTAAAACATCGAAAGGAAAGAGTTTATATATTCCCGTGCGAATGACTATATATGAATGTGCCCGTCTATGAATGTGTGTGTGAGCGTTTGCGGGTGCGTACTCACCTATTTGCACTTGCGAGGGTTGAGCTCTGGCTCTTTGGTCCAGCCTCTGAACTGTGGATTGAGGTTCGTGGTCATATCCACGAACTTTTGGTTCGTGGTTGGGTCGCACAAACACAACGACATACGTGGTTGTATTTGTGTTCGTGTGAGTGTGTTTGTGCGTCAGTATGTCCCCGGAGAGCCTCACACTGCATCAGGTCGAGGACAGGAGCCAGAAGGGCAGTTGGAAAACTCTGGAGAATAAATTGTACTTGTTGGGACTTTGTCGATCCCGGCTGACACGGTGGGATTATGGGGCAGGGTGATGGTAGGGGCAGACAGGAAGGGAGGGAAATTTAGGGTAAAGAGGGAAAGGGAATGAAGATGAAAGAAAGGAGCGATAGCAGGGCTTAGTCGATTCTTGTTGACAATAGGCGATTGTTGCATAGTGAGAGGGTAAAGAATTAGGAGAGAGAGAGAGAGAGAGACAGACAGACAGACAGACAGACAGACAGACAGAGAGAGAGAGAGAGAGAGAGAGAGAGAGAGAGAGAGAGAGAGAGAGAGAGAGAGAGAGAGAGAGAGAGACTAATATATATATAATGTGTTGTACCTAGTAGCCAGAACACAGAACTCGGCCCACTATGCATGGCCTGATTTGCCTATTAAGCCAAGTTTCCCTGAATTTATATATTTTTCTACAAAATTTCTTATGGAATGATAAAGCTATTCATTTCATTATGTATGAGTGAATTTTTATTAGCTTGAGTTAAAACTAACGTGGATATAAGACCAAACCTAACTTACCCTACCTAACCTAACCTATCTTAACCTAACCAAAACACGTCAATAATTTGTGTTCTTAATATAATATGATCTTCATTCTAGCTACCTATTTCTAACAAGCCTAAAGGTTGACTCATCCATCAGTGAGTTTGCCTTCTTCATAACGGTCTGCCAGTCTCATATCAATGTACAATGAACATATGTGAGCATCTTCAGAATGGTTACGTGCTCAGGGTAAAGAGCTCGTAATATTATAAAATTCAAAATGATAAGCGATTTCCCTAAAACTAGCAAATGGGTGATAATATCTCCAACATAAATCAGGTTTAAAAAAGGTCACATAATACTCTGAAGTAATGTTTATATATATTTAAGTTCAGCCCGGATGCTTTAATAACTTAACAACTTCAGCCTGCTGCTGAGGATTCGCAAACGTATTTATGTTTTCAAAATGGCCTCACATTCATAAATTATAACAAATCGATATAGATTCTAAAATGTTCTTCAAGAACAAAATATGCGAACCTTTAAATGCATAAGATCGCTCGAAGACAACAAAACAGGCAGAAGAAGAAAAACCTGTGCGAGTGTCATGTTTACAGCGAGTCGCAATCTGCGCTTCTCAACTTTGCTCGCCAAGTTTACTGCACCCAAACTTGTGGCAGACTCTTGCTACGTAAATTGAGAAATCTACACGGCGAAAAGTTCCCTTTTTCCCTAGTCGGAGACTTTATTAGTTATGCATATGTATGTCGCGGAACTTAATTAAGGGAGACTTGTATGTTAAAGACATTAATTAAGAGAAGCTTCAGCAGAGGAGTTTTTCTGGTCGAGACAGCCTGACAAGACACCTGGCCACGGTGGGAAACACTTGATTTTTTTCTCATGTGTCCTTTCTAGTTTACTTTTTTCTCAACAGATGTCGCTTCTACTTTACTTTTTCTCAACACATAATTCTCTCTTTTTCGATCAACACATGTCGCTTTTTGTCTCATTTACCATATACATAGTATTAACTGTGCCAAAAGTTAACATTTGAAAGTACGTTGGCTATCAAAATGTTGGAAACACCCATAAAATCCTTTTAAAAAATTGTATTAATGTTACATGGTAAATTAAATTCTAAAATACATGAATAATTACTTTATCTCAGAAGGCATATTTTTAAATAAAACATAATTATATGACATAATTTAACACTAGTGTTATACTTCAACGGCATATTTGCAGATACGAAAATACTTAATAAAAAAATAACAATTTAATACTTTTGATTCAATGAGTATTGAAGCAAATCTCGGAAAAAAAACATGTAGCCTAATGTTATTAATAAGGACTGAACGGCCGCTGACATCCTATTTCGATTAGCCTACTGACTTTTTTGTCTTTTGGTGTTATATTGAATTTTTCACGAATTAAAATAATACATTTATAGAAGCTTAAATCTCCCGAAGTCACAAAGTAATTAAATCGATATTTTCAACATTTAAATGTTTTGCAGTGCTTGTTTGGCAAAAACACACAAGACAGCTGATACCCTTAATATATTTCTTAAGGCCAACCGAAAATGTCGAGAGCTAAAACAGCAGGTGTATGACCAGCACTGGAAACAGTTTTTGCAAGGCATCAATCATGCAACATCTCCATCATAAATATGGAACAAATTAAGACATTTCACAAACCTGTATACATAGGCAGCATAAAACGTTCACCAGACAATGCGACTTACTGATTGCAAGGATCAGACTTGGCTGATCCTTGGCTGAATAATTTAGATGTGTTATAGTTTCTATGCATGCCGTATAGGCTACCGTATAGGCTAACCCTGAGCATTCTATGTGTAAACTCTATAAGTAAAAACTCGATGATTTCACATACTACATTATTGAATATCCAGTCACTAGGCACCTAGAGCTTTGTAATTACTTTATTCTCTCAGTCGTGTTCTAAAGGATATTCTCATACTGCATCCAAAGTTTGCAAGGGTAGGCTACTGATCACATGGCCCTGTATGACTAACCACTCTGGGAAATAGAAATTTCTTAATATTTTCTAGCCTAGCTTTACACACCTGGTGACCAAGAGAGTAAATAAACATAAATAAAATAATAAATCAAATAAATAAATCAAATAAACATAAATACGTTTTCTAGCCTAGCTTTACACACCATGTAACCCTTCATATAATCTAGGGTAGCTGTATAAATATATATGTACTTAGTTATGATAATAAAAACTTGTTAAGTAATTTACTTCCATCAGTTATAACAATCAACTTATTTAAACAGTCAACCGTAATTAAAAAGCAACTTGGATTAAAAAAAATAAATACTGACATACTGACTGTCAACGCTCTGGTTAGGTTAAACAGGTCATTTATTTACTTATTTAGTGTCTATTAGATTACACAGATATTTAAACTACCTTAACCCTAAATTATAAATTTACTCAAACACTTAACTTTGCTTTCATAATTTTACAATTATAATTTTTCAGATACTGACACTGCTATAAATTCCATATATATTCAAAAATTTAACTTGGATTTAAAATCAAATCAAATGGTCATATAAACCATTTTGAGAGTTTATTTAAACATTAACAGAATCCCTACCCTGGCGCTGGACAGTACAGTATTAGGTTACATCACTAATTGATATAATACATTTAGCTAATTTTATGTGTTCCAGATATCCCTGCGCGGGGCCCCACCATCACAGGGCGACGCGAGAATTATCAAGTTGGGGACTTGCTGTTGTTGAACTGCTCATCCCCTTACTCCTACCCTCCCACCACCCTCACCTGGCACATCAATGGTCACATGGTTAGTAGTTTGTTCACTCTCAACACTAGTCACTTGGTTACGACGATAAGGTAATTATGAAGACAATGTGCTAAGCCAATATGATTATTATAGCACTCGCCGGGTTAGTGATCATTCACTCAATCTCTCATCGGATTAATTATCGTTCACTCTCTCAGTCACCAGGTTAGGGATCATTCACTCTTTCAGTTACTGGGGTAGTGACCGTTATCTCACTCGGTCACCGGATTAGTGATTGTTTACCCTTTCGATCACCCAATAAATGTTAATTCACTCTCGGTCACCGAGTTAACGTTCCTTCACTCTCTCAGTCACCGGGTTAAGGTTCGTTCACTCTTGGTCACTTCGTTAGTGATCATTCATTCTCTCGGTCACCTGGTTAATGTTAGTCACTTTCCTTGTCACCGGGTTAATGTTCGTTCACTCACGGTCACCTGGTTAGTGATTGTTCACTTTCTCGGTCACAGGGTAATGTTCATTCACTCTCTTGGTCACCAGGTTATTACTCGTTCACTCTCGGTCACCGGGTTAACGTTCGCTCACTCACTGTGAACGTTCGTTTACTCTCTCGGTCACCTGGTTAATATTCGTTAACTTTACTATATCAGTGTTTCACTAAAGCCACGTACTTAGGTTTATATGCCTGGCAATGTATATTTCTGTGTGACGGTGGTATGCACAACTTCTACGAATGGTTTCCCGCAGTCGGAACAGAATCGAAAGCCCGTTAGGCTTATCGAGGTCCCTCTAGGCCATCTTTTGACCTTCTCCAGGATGCACCCCACAACAGTTATCTAACTCCCGGGTACCTATTGACTGCAAGGTGAACGGAACCATCAGGTGAAATGAAACGCGCTCCTGGCGCGGAACTTTCATCTGTGGTTAGATTGCGCTTACTATTTCGCTTCCAAAGCTACACTAAACAATAAACACTGACTGCTGTGTTTATCTAAACAGTCTGGAAATCGCGATGGTAAATCCGACATCATCTTCATATTCTTGCTCGTCCTTTCGAGCTATCACGTCACAAAAATGACGTACTAACATGCCCGAACCAAACTAAGCCGAGGACAATAATCGCCATCTTAACACACCCTCAATATTATCAATTTCTTGTGCAGTTCCTCATTTCCCTGACTTCACCTCCTTCTCTGACTTCTTATCTTTTCCTCCATATCTTGCTTTTTCATCTCTTCCCCTCCTCTTCCTTATCTTTCTCGTTTCTCTCTCCACAGGCATTCAGACATGTGTAGGTCGTTCAGAAATTCATCATTGATAATAGTGAACAAAATAGATGCTTTCACGTTAAGGATAATTATAACCGGTGTCTGTAAGGGAAGGGACATCACTAACACGTGTCTTAATGTTAAGAAATGTTAATAATGCCAATGTCACTACAGTATTTTGTTAAGGGACATTACTAATAAATAACTTTACATTAAAGTTCAGCATTAACAAGCGTGTTTTGGCGTTCCCGAGAACCAGCATGTGTGTATATATACTCACCTATTTGTGCCTGCAGGATCGAGCTTGCTTCCACAACCTACTCCTTAAGTGCATTCCATTTTTCCACTACTCTCACCCTAAAGGAAAACTTATATGTGCCTCAGAAGTTAGATTAGGTGTTACGTCCACGCCCAGGTCTCTTTCTCGAGTCGTCACAGGTAGGCAGTTCCTCTTCATTGTGTACTGTCCCTTTGGTCTCCTGTCACCTAATCCCATTTCCATAACTTTACACTTGCTCGTGTTGAACTCCAGTAGCCATTTCTCTGACCACCTCTGCAATCTTGTGTGTGTGTGTGTGTGTGTGTGTGTGTGTGTGTGTGTGTGTGTGTGTGTGTGTGTGTGTGCGTGTGCGTGTGCGTGTGCGTGTGTGTGTGTGTGTGTGCGTGCGTGTGCGCGCGTCTGAGTAGCTCTGAGACCCTCATGCCCTCCGTCACACAGGCATCACGAGAGACGGTGGTGGTTTACCCAGGAGAAACCGACAGTGATGGCTGTGAGGCTTCCTGGTCTGGTCTGCAGATGATGCTTCAGAACGAACACTTTCAGCAGGGTGTCCTCATCCTGCGGTGCACAGCCTCCATCCTCCACGTCTACAGGCTCTCTACAGAGGTCATGATCACTGATTCAAGCTATATAGAAAGTTCTCCGAGGGAAGGTGCCTCCACTGGTGGTCAGTTATTAAGAAAACATGTAAACAAAAATAACTACCATTGCTATAGCAAATTATATGTTAATAAAACTTACAATCAAACAGATGTGAATTACAGTTAGACGCTAATGTTATTTAATACTGAAGTCAAATTTAAAATTCAGTGTTCTTAACATTAGTAATGTTTCCTTCAGCTAGGCTATGTCCCTCATCAAATTATAGAAATCTTGCATTAAGTGTAATTCCTGGATAAAATGTTTTATACAACTTAAGTTCTGTGTTTTGTACCTTAAATATATTCTTGACATCTTTTTATGTATACATAACGTCAACTTTTCCCTGGAACATGATTTCATCGGGAAACATATATTCTGAGGAAATTAACTTCCACAAAAACTTGATTTCCTTTGGAACTTGATTCAGTTTGAAACTAAATTTTCTAATTCTTTATTTCCTTTGAAACTTGACTTCCACTAGAAATCGACTTCCTTTGAAAATTTCTTCTGATAGATTTCCATGGAAACTTGCTTTATTTAATTGAAACTTAAATTTATCTGACACTTGATTTTGTCAAGACCGGTTGTTTCCAAACTGAGGTAAGTTTACCCTGGAAATACACAGGAAAACCCAAACAATAGCGAACTTCATAACTAACGTTTTTAAATTAATAAACAATGTACCACACGAAATGTCGAATAATCTATTTATGAAAAAAATAACTTGCGTGTAGGTAACTGCAGGAGTGAGGCAGGTAGCACGTGTTGTACATATGGCACTTGAATAGTACATCGTATTTTGACGTATAATTTCCCTAGGGCCTAAATCTGATGTACTAAAAATGATAGCGGCTTGCGAAATTGAGGTGATGTCCCTTTTCTGTTCGTGGGTCGTCGGGTAGGTTAGGTTCAAGCAATTTAGCACAACTGATTAGTAACGTTGGGAACGCTCGGGAGAATGGGCTGACTGATCACATACCCCTAACTAGTACATTAGTACAACTAACCATCCTGGACGATGAAGACTTTCAGTATCACTGCTACTTTATTCGCTCGGATGTTATTGTTTACATTCTTATATTCTTATAATGCATGCAAAGTTTGCTGGTGCAGACTACTGATCATATGACCCTGTATGACTAACCATCCTGTATGATATGGATCTTTTAGCATCACGTAGCAAGCTTTTTATACAGTACAGATACACTATATACTACCCCATCATAGTCTAGGGGTAGCTGTATAAATTAAGATGTACCTAAATGTGTTAATAAAAAAACAGACATCAATGATAACAATAAAGTGTCGCACTAGTTATTTTGAGATACATTAGAGACAATACTAGCACCCGACACTAGTCATTTTTGAAACATCAGTGACAATACTAGTGCGTGGCATAAATCCCTGAACTGTGTTTGACAAATCTCTCACCCTGTCCATGGGGGACAGAAGAAAATGTATATATGCTCGTTAGCATTGTAAATGTGTGGCCACGTCTGCGGTAGAAAATAATAATAAAAAAACTAGTTTCTGACAAACATCAGTGACAACCATTAGTTGAATTAATGGTTCAACTCTCACTCATCTCTCCAAACTCATGACCCTGAACTTAATATGCACTAAAACTTGTACAAAATAAAGTTTAGTAAAATTATAAATTATTAAAAATTGACTTCCACTAGAAATCGACTTCTCAAATCTCAAATCCTTATCCTGACCCCTTACAAGTGCTATATAGTTGTAATGGCTTGACGCTTTCCCCTGCTAATTCTCTTCCTTACACTATTAAAAATGTGCGTATTAAAGACTACAATCTAAAAACTGCATTACAGGCTCGGAAAACACTACCGGCAGTTGGATCCCGACTGGACACCTCATACCATAATGATTAGTAAACCTTGCTCTCGAACTCGATTTAGTCAGGAATGGATAATAACCTCAATATGATATTCACATAAACTTGATTTCCCGTGGAATTTTAGTTCTTCTGGAACTTTATTTCCAGAAGAATTTCCCTTCATAATTCCCTCCCTTCCTCCTCTAAAACTGGATTCCCGAAATATTTATTTAAATAAGACGTGATTTCTCAAACATTTTAATTCCATATAAATTGATTTCTCTAAAATTTGATTTCTCTAAATCAGATTTATGTAGAACTTATATTTCTTAAACTTTAATATTCCTAACAGATTTATTTACTACATCTACATTTATTATTGTTGCATACACTGCAACATGATTTCTAAAGGAGCGTGCTGACCAAACCACACACTAGAAAATGAAGGGCCGACGACGTTTCGGTCCGTCCTGGACCATTCTCAAGTCGATTGAGAATCATCCACAATCGACTTGAGAATGGTCCAGGACAGACCGAAACATCGTCGTCCATTCACTTTCTAGTGTGTGGTTTGGTCAACATATTTCACCCACGTTATTGTGACTCCTCGTCTGCATAAAGGAGCGTGATTATTGAGCACGTGAATTATCTAGCTTCAATATATTAATTTACTCAGTTTAGGCTATCCATGTTCTGAGTGTGCATCCTGATCGCTGCCAGTTGCAACTGTTACAGGTGCTGACTGTTCATCTATCGTGCTGCTGTTGATGCTGTTACCGCTTGTCCTCTCTAACCTGGACACCTGAGGTCACTGCAAGTGGGGCGCGTTTTGCAATTTGTAAATGCCGTCAACTGAATCCAGACTGTAGTTATGATATTAGCATATGGATATTTTATAAAGCTTTCAGTGTGATCGTAGTAGCCATTTCCAGAGTGCTGTGATGGACAGGAAACTGAAGATGGAAAAGAAATCCTTAAAACATATTTTGAACACTGGTAAGCTAATGGGATGTATATATAAGCAAGGTCATCTGGAATATAAAGAACTGAACTTGTTGTTCCGAAATGTTTGAAAATTGGCTGATTTACAAAGGCAACCTATATTTTTGCTTGCTTTAAAAACACTTAAAAAAGTTTTAATCATAATTGAATGCCCCATTATTTAGTTCCTCTCTGTTAAATTGTTGTTTCATAACGTGCAGTTATCTGATAGTTATCAGTTATCCCCATATTTCGCCAACATATTAAGAATGCACTTTCTTCGAAACTGATTTGTTTTAGGTTTAAAGAACTTAATTACAGTATATGTAACACATTCCCTCTGAATTACCAAACTCAAAACATCAGAATATGTTTTGGCAATTTTCCCACGTTTCTCTAATCCATTCATTCCTTTCAGAATATTGTAACTATTCCCTATGTTCTCTCTGTTGTGATTCATTCCTTTTAAAATTGTTCAATGGATCAAATTATGCTTCCAAAATGTCCTAAAATTATTTGTATGTAGAATTGTTAATTAATCTTCATTGTGAAATTTCTTTGAACTATTCTTATTATATTACAAAAGAACAATGGTAGCATTAGGAGAGTATTTTAATCACACCTGAAATGTCTAACGCAGATAGTTAATCACATCTGTATGAAATATTCATCAGCTTGTAACGCTCCTGCCCATATATGCAAATCCCCCAAACGCATTTCAAGCAGTAAAGTTTAACTTATACATTTGTTGTTGTTGCAATGATCTTGAAATAATAATAATCATTATTTCTTGAAACATGCAGTTTCGTGTAGGCTCTCCAAATACAACAAATTATTATTGTTTATGGGTTGTATCTTAATAAACAAAAATTGTCTTGTATTCGAGAATTTACATGAAATTGAATTATACAAAAGCTTGATGGTAAACTAGCTGAATTAAGATATTTCCTGCACTTTAACACCACATCGTGTATTACCAACTGGAAAACATGCAACAATAACGATGAAGTATATTAACTTATCATAACGAAACCGAGATAGACGTACAATCAAAATAATTAAACAGTAAGTACTGAATTTCAGAGATTGAACAGTCAACTATTTCCATACTCTTTTACAGACATCCAGTGAACCACAAATTTTAACATACATCAAAGCACAATCTTTTACAAATCTCAAGCAAACCACAAACATTTATAAACATCACTACAATATTTTACAAACATCCAGCAAACCACAACCTTTCACAAACATCCAGCAAACCACAACCTTTCACAAACATCCAGCAAACCACAACCTTTCACAAACATCCAGCAAACCACAACCTTTCACAAACATCCAGCAAACCACAATGTATTGAAATTTCAGTATATACATCTCGTCATTATTAAAGCCTACAATTCACATACTGTACTCCATCAATATCATTAGAACCTACAATACACACGCGTCATCATCATCAGAGCCTACAATATATACGCTCCATCATCATTAAAGCCTACAATACACACACTCATCACCAGAGCCTACAACATACACACTCATTATAATCAAAGCATACAATACACTCCACTCCTATAGAGCCCAATAGGCTCGGGAATCTGTACACCAGTTGATTGACAGTTGAGAGGCGGGACCAAAGAGCCAGAGCTCAACCCCCGCAAACACAACTAGGTGAGTATTCCATCATCATTATAATCAGAGCATACAATACACTCCATCATCATTATAATCGCAAGATTCAAAACACTCCATCATTATAATCGCAAGATTCAAAACACTCCATCATCATCAGATTACAATACACTCCATCATCAGACAACAATACACACCATCTTCATATTCAACGCCTACGATGCACTCCATCAGACTGTTTATTATAATTAGGTACATATGCATTTAAGCAGTTCCTCTGCATAAATGCAATATAATATTAAGAGCTAGCTACGAACTGCTAAGAAATTTCCATCTCTCAGGATGGTTAGTCATACAGGCGCATGTGATCAGTAGCTTGCGCTTGCGAACTTTTGATGCAGTATGAGGATATCCTCAGGAACACGAGCTATATTACTACAGCTCTATATTATATCAACTGACTATATTACAGGATTATAAACGAGAGGGCCTCATATCAATAATGAGAGAAATTATAGCAAGAGCGGATAAAGATAGATCACGACTGTTGGTAGTCGGGGACTTCAACTTGAAATCCATACACTGGGAGGCACACGAAACTAGAAATAGAGGACTTTTGGACCTGCAGAATCGTATACCTCATCCTGGAAACATTCATGTATCAACTGGTTAAACAAGCTACAAGGATAAAGCAGAACAGTTTTAAAGAATCAGTTTTTGGTCAGATTCCTGGTCTGAGTTAGAGTTCGTTCCTTACACCTGATGTAGCTGTTCACCTAGCAGTAAATAGTTCCTGGGAGTTAGGCGACTCTTATGGCTTGCATCGTGGGGAAAGTTAATGGTCGGCCTAGAGTCCTTAGAGGGATCTTGATAAGCTAACCAAAACGGGCTTCCTCTCCCAGACAATGGTAAATCGTATGCAATATTTAAGAATCAAGTTACATCAGTTTAGAAGCATATAATATCTTTAAAGACAGTATTGTTGACTGCAGTGCGCTTTTGTATTTTCACTGAACGTTCGTTATTGGCAGTACAACTTCTATACAAACTTACTTTTGATATAAGGTAATGAACCCATCTGAAAATTGGGATAGCAATAACTTTGCATCCTCTTGTGGACCAAACAAATACAGAATCCATCAATCATTGATTTTTACCGGAATACCAGTCCTCACATTAGGCTATACTGAGGAATTACACTGAAATATAGCCATTTTGAGAGATATTTAAAAAAAATCAAATTTTTTCGCATTTTAAAGAAAATGTATTTATAGGAAAAACATATTAGTAATTTTTTTTAAATTTATAAGAATATGCACTAGTGATCCCTATATAGTTTTAAGTTAGGAATTACATCATTATTTCTTTGGGACTATACATTTCAAAGTCTAAGATGAGGCAGCTATTTGTTAATGTAATAACAAATATGAATGTGTGATTTTTTTTCATTGCGGTTATATATATCTTACCTAATAGCCAGAACGCACTACTTGACTTGGTATGCAAGGCCCGATTTGCCTAACAGGCAGAGTGATTTTCGTTATTTTCAAAATTTGTTTTCTAATTGGATTACCTGTATTTGAATGGATATTGTTATATTATATTAAGAACATGAGTTACTGGCATAGTTAAGTTTGGTGAGGTTAGGAAAATTTAGGTTAGGTTAGGTTAATTTAGGCTAGGTTAGTGTCCTCCGCGGGGGACGCTAAACCCCGAAATCATCTCAAGATAACCTAGGTACGTTAGTTTTAGTTATATTCCTGCGTTAGTTTTAACTAAAATAAAAAAATAATAAATCATACGTAATTCAATAGTAAGCTTTTATCATTCCATAAACAAATTAAAAATATATATAATTTCAGAAAAACTCGGCTTGTTAGGCATATCGGGCCTTGCATATTTGGTCAAGTAGCGCCTTCTATTATATATATTTATATATATATACGCGCATATGTGTTCAAATGAGTAGAAGTGGGTAAATGAAGCATTTTACGAGGAATACTCTAGATATTAATTGAATCTTGGGGAAAATAAAAATATAATAAACTTCAGTGGCCAAGCCAGCCAAATAAGATTTGTTCAAATCTTCTTATCCTTACTCAATGTTTACAGGGAAGTAACTATGATGATTTACAATGAGATGAATATGTTGATAATAAAAGTGGTTACCAGTGATACAGTGTTCTTTCGTGTTTCTTTATCTAAAAATCCTCCAAAATGAGAGTACATATAGCGACTGTGGAGTATACAAAATGTGAACCCGGGTCGCTAAACAAATTCTACCTTGTGTATTCCTGGGCCAGAAAAACAAATAAGAAAGTAACCTAACCTCTCCTAGACCTAGTATAATAAATGTAATACACTACTTATACTATTGCGAATATTAGACCTACGATCGCTTACATTAGGCCTAAATGTTATATTAGGGTGTCGCATTTTTTGAATACCCTATAGAATTATAATAGTACAAAAGGTACATATGCAATTCGCAGTCGCTACATGTAATATCACTTTTGAGTTGGTTTGTACATAAATTGTAGTCTGGGCTTGCAGTTTCTATCCAAACCATTAGCCGGAGGATTCTAGAAACATTTTGAGATCTCAATGATTTTCGGGCGAAATTAACCCGAAATGTCTCTCTCACTTGGACTGTATGATGGATAACAAAATGTTAAGCCCCTCCTGAAATCAGGCTACAGTTAATTAATTCATATTTATTAAAGTTATTGATACATTTTATAATGTAAACCTATTTTAAAAGTATGCTAGTATATTTATATACTGACCTTGATCCCAGATGTATGCCTACTCACTTGTATATATACCCCTAAATAGCAGACTGGTAGAGAAATGAATGTTGTGAGTTCTCGTATGTGCCCCCTGAAGATATACTTAATGGCCAGGATGTATGTTTCTGTGTGGCGTATCTCATCATTCATGTATAGAGAAACTGTAGTACAATTTGTATATTTTATCATAAATTTATGCATAACTTGCTACTGTGTTTTATTTTATAAACCCCAATTCTTATTGACCTCACAAAAACAAACAAAAAATATTCTTGTTAAGTATTTCAAAATCGTTTGTAAACAAACCCAACCACAGATAACGTAAATTTTAAAATATTTTGCCATGTGTTGATCGGAAAGGCGAACGTATTCACCATGTTGCAGTAACTTCATTGTGCTTGCAGGGGTCGAGTATCTACTCTTAAGCCCCGCCACACCGCTCGTTCGTATGTTTACTAAATGGAGTACCAGCACTCTATCATTTTACCTTTCATATATTCATTTTACGATTTTTGAAGTGAAAAAACTACCACCCATCTCAACCTATATCTTGCCTTACTAAAATTGCAAACCAAAACGCCATCTTCCCCCATCCCAACTTAAATATTAACAGTTATAATTGATATAATGGCTGTTTTCTGGTTATAAAAATTCATACGAGGGAACAGTGGTTAATTATAATGTACTGATCGGCGAAAGGGGTGTATGATCTTACCTGAACCCTTGGAGTGCTCCTGAGAGGTGTATGATCTTACCTGATCCCTCGGGAGTGCTCCTGAGAGGTGTATGATCTTACCTGATCCCTCGGGAGTGCTCCTGAGAGGTGTATGATCTTACCTGATCCCTCGGGAGTGCTCCTGAGAGGTGTATGATCTTACCTGATCCCTCGGGAGTGCTCCTGAGAGGTGTATGATCTTACCTGATCCCTCGGGAGTGCTCCTGAGAGGTGTATGATCTTACCTGATCCCTCGGGAGTGCTCCTGAAAGGTGTATGATCTTACCTGATCCCTCGGGAGTGCTCCTGAGAAATGTATGATCTTACCTGACTCCTCGGAGTGCTCCTGAGATCTTGCAGGTTGACGTAGCAGGTTTCCGGCCGATTTGAAAAGCAAAACAGTTACGTTCCGGTAGTTTTGTGTCATTTACAAGATTAATCCTTAAAACTTAAGTTATACACCTTCCAAACGTCGCTAATTTCAGTGTAGGCCTATGTAATGATTTTGTTTTTCTTTTGAAGTCACCACAGATGAGCACACTTATGATTAAACGTCGTTAATAGGAGTTTAGAGGATATAACACAGGAGTTCACACTGACCACGTCATCACAGGATCACGGCGTGACCCAAACTGACTCTCAGACACTGGAGTTGCTCCTTGAACGCCTCTGATTGGCTGGAAACACTCTTTACTCCTCAGGCGCTTCTGATTGCTTATTAACACATTACTTACATCTCGGGCCCATCTGATTGGCTGGTTACGTGTTCTGAATAACTATCAGCAGTTAATTAGATATGGAACCAATCCTCATCAACCAAGGCAAATGTTCGTTAATCTACCTGCCAAACCCCGATTATTAAATAAAAACACTTTACACACGACTCACAACTGATGACGTATGTCATCATAGTTGTGATGACCTAAATGTGTTAATAACAACAAAATCTCGAACCGTGCTTGGTTCACGTCCTCTGCTCAAATCGCACGTCTAAATACTTCATCGACGCGCTGCAAATACCCATATCCTAATAGCCTATTCAGCACATTCTAGCATGTAATAATATTAACTTTAATTTGAGAAACAGGATCTCCACTCGTCATCTTGTAGGATGCCAGGATCTTTATTCCCCCCCCCCCCGCCCCATGCTACAAATTGCTAGGAACTCTACTCCCCATGCTGCAAGCTACCAGGATCTTTACTCCTCATTTTGCTAGCTACCTACCAGGATCTTTACTCCCCATGCTGCTAGCAACCAGGAACTTTACTCCCCATGCTGCTACCTACCAGGATCTTTACTCCCTATGCTGCTACCTACCAGGATCTTTACTCTCCATGCTGCAAGCTACCAGGATCTTTACTCCCCCCCATGCTGCTAGCTACCAGGATCTTTACTCCCCATGCTGTTAGCTACCAGGATCTTTACTCCCCATTCTGCTAGCTACCTACCAGGATCTTTACTCCCCATGCTGCTAGCTACCAAGATCTTTACTCCCCATGCTGCTAGCTACCAGGATCTTTACTCCCCATGCTGCAAGCTACCAGGATTTTGACTCCCCATGCTGCTAGCTACCAGGATCTTTACTCCCATGCTGCAAGCTACCAGGATTTTGACTCCCCATGCTGCTAGCTACCAGGATCTTTACTCCCCATGCTGCTAGCTACCAGGATCTTTTCTCCCCATGCTGCTAGCTACCAGGATCTTTACTCCCCATGCTGCAAGCTACCAGGATTTTGACTCCCCATGCTGCAAGCTACCAGGATCTTTACTCCCCATGCTGCAAGCTACCAGGATCTTCACTCCCCATGCTGTAAGCTACCAGGATCTTTACTCCCCATGCTGCTAGCTACCAGGATCTTTACTCCCCATGCTGAATGCTGCCATGATCTCCAATCTGTTCTGCAGGCTGCTAGATTCTCTATTCCCTATGCAGCAGAGGCCAGATTCACGAAGCAGTTATGCAAGTACTTACGAACGTGTATATCTTTCCTCAATCTTTGACGGCTTTGATTACGTTTATTAAACAGTTTACAAGCATGAAAACTTCCCAATCACCTGTTGTTATTGTTATAAACAGCCTCCTGGTGCTTCGGAGCTCATTAACTGTTTAATAATTGTAAACAAAGCCACCAAAGATTGAGAAAAGATGAACTGGTTCATAAGTACAGTACTTGCGTAACTGCTTCGTGAATCTGGCCCCAGGTTGCCAGAATGTCCAATCTCCATGTTGCAGGATGCCTGAATGTTGATTCCTCATGCTATCAGGATCTCCATTCACCATAATGCTAAGCTCCACACTGCAGGCTGCCAGAATCTACCCCCAAGCTGCAGGCTGTCAGGGTCCATTCCCAACAATGCAGGCTGCGAAGATCTCCACTTTCAATGCCGTGTCAATTGTTCAGAAATTAAAAAATAATTTAATTGGGTTATTATTCCCAAAATTATATACTGTATACATCAATGGTAAGAGATTCAACAAATTATAAAACCAATAATTAAGCTAAACTAGACTTATACACCTGAACAGTAAGTTCATGTTATGCTTTCTGTACTTACATATTTTCTTGGATCATTGGTTTTCCTGCTGCCTGAAGGGATGCTAATGTGGTCCCATTGCTGCATTAAGAATGCAGCTTTAAATACCCAAAACTTTAACTCAATTATACCACACACACACATTTGATGACATATGACCAGTCCTTAAATTATGACAATCAAAGTATTAAATGTACATTTCGTAAGTGTGCATGTGCAGTTGACACACACTGAAATTATCAAGAAATCACTAAGCCAGTTTGACTTACAGTACAGCACTTCAATGAGCAACAATAAAAAGTTCAGTAGTTTTGAAATACTTCTCAAGATGCCTGTATGAGAACAAAGACATCAGGTCATCTTAATGAAAAAGGTTCGATTTGTTCAGCAATCGCTTAACAACTATCAAATTATTTATGAAGCATAATTTCTAATCCTGAAAATGAGGCACTTCAGCCATGAACATTTTGTGAAAGTCGCAGACATCGGCTAGTTTTGCATGTATTAGCATGATTAAAATACTATACAGAAAGTTCCAATTCAAGCCTTATGCAAAGTGCTTGGATTCTTTATTGAAGATTAAGTTCAGAGGAAATAAGTTGTATATTTCGTACAATTGCTTTTGGTTACATTCTTATCTCATCAGATTTTTTTAAACAATTTTGTCATTCTTGTGTCAAAATTTCCTAATTCTTGAATATGTTTATAAATTAATTAGGTTAGTGTGGCTAAAGCAACTACTTTCTTTATTTCACATTTTTTACACTTTACTAATACAGTATACTTTACAAATAGTTTTGTCGAGCATTGCACAAATAATACATGCTTGACCTTAATGAAGTCCTACTCCTGCCAGCACTTCACATCTTGTATGAAGTGGCAGGCCATGGTGCTGATACAGGAAAGCGGCAGTAAAAGGTTAAAACTTCTTTAAATTGTACTGCTCCCATCTCTGTTTCTCTGATGCCTCCTAGTTTCCAAGAATATAGGAAATAGGAAAAAATTATAAAAAACATTGTAGGTAAAATATTTAACTTTATAAGAACACAATTTTATTTTTACACTGTACAATAAGTGCTGCATAATAATCTATTTTATATGCAAAAGTTATGTTAAACAACATAGACTTAAGGAAGATCACCGAGTGTGTACCAAAATAAAAATGCATCAAGTCGCTGTTAGTGTCCCTCTCCGATGAACCATAGCTGCATTGTACAGTTAATACTTTAACAATGATGATCTGCATAACTATTTTATAATTCATTGGTTTAATACCCAAAATAAGATTCAGTTTATAAATATAAAGTTGACTTGGAAATATTTGATTTAATATAAGAGCCAATCCTGGTAAAATATTACAAGTAAGAAACTGCTACACCAAACTGGAGTCCCTGATTGGGTCTGTCACCCCGTTGGAGAAGGAGTGGGATGCAATAGTTAAGCTCGACTCTTGCAAAACCACCTAGACTCATTGCTAATCCAGCACCATAAGACAAACGCATGTCACGGACAAGCACCTGGAGATTCCTTTTGTAGTCATCAGCTGGAAACAAAAAGAAAAGGTTAACAAACTCAACTATCAGTCTATCTTTCCACCTAACCATTAATCAGTCCATCCATACTAAATTTCCAAACAAATAAATATAATGGAATAGATTTATAAAGCCTTATGGTAAAGCTAAAAAATTATCTTTATATCACATTTAGTAGAATTAGAGAATTAGGCTTCATCAAGGCTCATATAATGTGCTGCTTCTCTTTGCTTGCTAAGATGATTTACAAGCGAGCTATCCATTAATTTTTTCATTTGAATATCAAATTTAGTAGCACATTAATTATGAAGGCTTTATAAATTAGTTAACATACATTTGCTTTCCTGTAATCTTTTAGGACATCTGAAGATTATACACAGAGGGAGTATGTCTAAATAACAAACCATTTCTTACCTTATTATGCAACTACTATGAGTACTTCCATTCCACTGTTTTTAAAGCCTGGCAATCCTAGACTATTTTATAATAGAAAGCTGCTAAATCTGCTAAAATTTCAACTAATGTATATTTCCTCAATAATGTGAGTTTATATGCGAGAAACACGTAAGTACAGTATACCACCCTATTCGGGAACTTGTTATGTGAGCAATATCAAAGCTATCAGATTCACCAAGGATTTCATTGAGGGATAAATGATCCCTAGGGACGGTAGGAAAGACATAATATTCCAAAAATTGGGGCATTCTACAAGGAGGTGCACGACTAAGTAGGACAATGCAATTTGGACAAAAGTGAGTAAGTAAGAATTTGTTCCATTAAGTGACCATGAGTTAAGCAAGTGTGACCGATATACAACTTAGTCAAAGCTGTTTCCCATTGCCTATTACAATGGTATGAGGAAGTCCAAGCGAAAACGAAACGTGGTTGCCCGAAACACAATATTAGTGGCTTTAGGCATAATATATATACTAGCTCTATCTAGAAATCCAACATTCTGTTTGTAACTCATTTTAATTATTTAGGCAAAAGTACATACAAACATTATTATTATTGAACAAATCCAATAGGAGCCTTGATGAGGGTTCAAACCTATGCGCTGGGTGTTCCCAGGTGCGCTCAAGTCGACTGCACCATGATGTGGTACAAAGAACTGCAACCTGGAGTACTACAGTACTGTGCCCACAAGGAACCCAAGGCTTCCACTGAACCCTAACCGGGATTTCACACATTTCCCCCCCCATGCACTCAGGCTCTGTCAACCAGTAATTCTACATACCTGTACCTCCTTCAATACACACAGAAATCACATTAGTGTGTTATCTCAATGGACAATGTTCATTGATTTTTTTCAATTTAATATGTAACAATATTCTTGGTCTTGAAAAGTATCCCATAAAATCCTTCACTAAATCTTAGTAGTACAAATTTATATGGTGTCAGATAACACACACATTCATTCAGGAGTAAGTTGTAAAATGTAACTAAAAAAAATTACAGGTAGTCTGATTATGGGAGATCCATAAAATTTAGTCTGCTGTACTTGTAGATCACGTGTAAGGAATAAGAAGGAACAATGCACTTATAATGACAACGTAGACTTTCTGACAAATATCATGTAGCCTTTAGTTGGCTTCCATGCTCTTCATTTTTTTTTTTTTTTTTTACTTACTCAAAACAAAGTCACCAATATTGCCAGTATTAACGAAGGCATGTAATCTGAATTTGTCGCTGATGGAGCCTCGATTCAGAAGTGGCAATGGACTGTAAGCATGTATAGCGGCAGCCCAAAACATCTGTGAGGGAAGAGTACTTGCATTTCAATGAAAGATGCAATTAAAATTTTGTATTATTATCAAACATGTGACACTTTCCAATCCAAAAAATATTGCAAGTTATTATGTTATTATAATATATTGTTCAGCTATAAATAAGCAAACAGTTTCTTACCATTCTCTCAACCATTACACAAAAAACACAAACACACCAACATCCAAAAACCCAGCATTGAAAGTAATGAAATGCCTCTTCCTGGTGCCCTGGTGGCTCCCTGAAGCATATCTTGCCGAGATTCCTCCATACTAAAAGGTCACATCAGTCACAGTCCTGTTTGGCCTAGTATGGACCAGAGCCAGCACTTGGCCCCACTCATAAAGGAGCAGGGAGCAAGTGACAATTTGTAGGGTTCTCAAATTCTGTCTGTAGGGTTGTAGTTGTACTTGTCTGTAGGGTTGTAGTTGTACTTGTCTGTAGGGTTCTGTGAACCCTACAGACAACTGTAGGGTCCACAGAAAATGAAGCCTCAAAACTGCCAAGTAACTCTGCAGACGATTCACACACAACAAGGATATCATTAAAACTCCTTGAAACTTGTTAGCACCAACTACCACTACTAGGCAGCCCAGCCCCAGCCCTCAGCTGGCTTCCCATCTTAGTTCTGGAGCTGATGAACAACCCCCACAATGAACTAAGCAAGCTGATGTTTGGAGCTGGGTTTGTAAGGTTTTCTAAGTAGTATTCTATTTTCATTAGTTTGTCTTTAAACTGCTGAGGATTGCCTCTGGTGACATATATAAGAACAATAACCATATTTAGAATCTCTTGATTACCAGCACTTCAACCATATCATCTGTAGTATTTAATAGCTCAGTATAGATGAGTGTGTGTGATGTACAAGCTGACCCCACCCTGTAAGCTGCATTTCCTGTTATATCTAAAGATGTACTCCACTATCCATATTTCACTATCATAGTAATGTTCGTGTGGGGGTTTCAGTGTGGGCTGCAAACCACTGCATTTGCCTCATTTAGGAGGCCAGTAATAATGTGGACTTTGTTTGAGTTACATGCATTTTTTTGCAAAATGCATGAGTAGCATTTAAAAAAAAAATGAAAAGCTGGAGTGTGTCTGTTGAAACATTCTTTCCTATTTAATGAGCTCTAACAAAGTTTTGGTGTGAAAATTTGCAGCTTTTGGTGAAATACAGGGCGATTGTATTTGCATGTTCCATATGTTCTTCCTGATATCCCCCATACTTACATACGCCCCATATATAATATCGGCAAGTTCTGGATTCTACTTTTTTTTTTGCTTCACTTGACATGACTCCATTGAGCCCTCATCCAACACCTGAGACAGGAAGGTGTCCTCTCAAGGAGAAGGCTTAGAGCAAGTGGATAGTTGAAGAAAAATGCCCCCAAACCCCAGAATGACCAGAAGGTTCGACCGCCTTCGCCAATGACGTGGATGGGACTACCCCTGGTGGAGACAAAGTCTCATCCCAAGATGAACCCTGACCCAACCCCCAAAATCCTCAGATGCTTTGAATCCAGAATGATTATTCTGGATCCTCAAATTGAATTCTGAACGAGGAATCCAAAACCACACACACATGAGATACATAAAAAATTTTCATAAATTTTCTTATTCCATCCTTTAAAAATTAATTTCACTATGACTGACCCCTGTATGTATGTTCTAATCTAAAATGTTGTATTGTTATTTTTCCTGGAATAGCTCCCCCCTAACAAAATTCATGATGTAATTCACAAGAAAGCTGTTCATCTGATCACTTGACCTTGCATATAAGCTTGAATGCAAGGTCAAGGTCAGGCTTGCTGTCACAAAATTGCTTCTCCTTCCCTATTTTATTGGTACTACCAGCCTTCAGGAACTTGCAAATTGCATTTAATAAAATGGATCATGCAAGTCTTGCAATGAAGCCGCTTCTCACAGCTATTGTCTTTATCTCATTATACAGCTATCTTGAGGGATAGACTATCACTCAGTGTTTTCCCCGACACCTTAGTTTTTTACCTTTCAAGAATTATCTGTGAAGCTTATCTTGAAATCTTGAAAATTTTTATCTTTGCATTTACCTATTCTAACATTTTATACTAACTCTTCATTATCAAAGATCCAAATACTGTAATAACATTGATTAAAATATATGAAAGATACCTTTATAAACCACAATAAAAAAACAGTTTACCTCTGCACCTAGTGAACAACCATCACTATGAGGCCCAATGCCAGCCATTTCAAAACCACGAACATTCATGGGTCCACCTAATACAAAACGGTCAGTGATGCAATGTGTCTTGTTGTTGCGGAGTGGTAATAGGTGGCCTGCCTGGAGAGATCCCTGGATCACCTGTAAATAATTATTACTTAAGCAATTTTCTTAATCCCTTTCATCTTTTTTTGCTCCTTGCAAATGTCATTTGTATACATTGCTTTCAGCTCTTCATATGTATTATTACTTTTAGCTTTTCAAATGTGTATATTACTTTCAACTCTGAAGTGTATATATGAACTTTTAAACCTTCAAATATACAAAATATTGTCTTTTTAACAGGAATAATATGCTGATCAACACTGCATTAGTGTTTCCTTTAACAAAGCTGCTGCTGGCCTGCTCCCATCTCTTTAGCATGTTTCCAGCAGCATGGCAGTGAAGGCCTGGTCTCAGTGAAAGGCTTAATGTTGAGAGGTAATTAGTAAGCCAGGTATAAATGGCTAGGAGGCAGGGAATAAAGAGCTATATCTCACTTCCCCATAGTCACTAATAGGTAAGCATTTATCGAATCGCAAGAATGGGCTGGATTTACTTGTGTGGTGGTGCTTGTCCTCTATGATCCTGCTAAACATGGAAAGTATTATGAATGAATGTGTGTCACTGTGAACATTTTTAACGTCCTCTTTAGTTATCTATTCAATTAAAGTAAGAAACAAGGTGATGATTATTGAATATTGAGCTCATTTTTTTACCAAAAGAATACACAAAATCAGCTTTTGTATAACTAACAATGCACACATATCTTTAATATTATTACAGTAATTATGTCATAAATTTTAAAACTTATATAGTATTGATACACTTATTTTTTCTTTGTATACACAAGGCAGACTAAGTCAAGGCAGTTTTATATAAGCCGCTTTTATTTGTGAACTTGTCTCATAGGCAAGTGGAGTGGGATTTGTTCTAAGGCTAGAAATAACTTATCTAATCAGTTCTATTATATATGGTGAACAAATGTTTAGGCACACAAAATTAAATGCTCATGTTAACCATAGCATTGTGGTAATAAATTATTATTCAATCTTTTCCTTCTTCTTATGACATGATAGAGTAATCACTTGTGAACATTTTTGTGGATAAATTACAAATAAATGACAATATATTATTATAATCAGAAAATCCTAAAAAAGATTATAAACATTTTGATTTCAGAATTATCTTTTTCATACTTTTTTATAAATGAAGAATAACTCACCAATTCTTTTGGCAGAGGGACATTTACTTGCAGATCTAACTCATTCTTTAAGAAACCAATATCACCTCCCAAGCCAGCTAGTTCATTCTGAAACAAAAATATATGAATGTATAAAATGAAATTTTAATATTACAGTACAGTAAGGTACTTTGAAAGCATTCACCTCAATCAATTTTTCCTCTGACAAAGCCAACATTTTTGCCACTTCTAACTTGGATGACTCTAGCTTTTCTGAACCCACTGGCTTTCCTCTGGTAAATTATATCTCTTACATTTTTATCTTGGCTAAGTTGGTTATAGAAGTCCTTCAAGTATTAAACATAAACAATGTTTATAGGCAGATGGTGCAATACTCTGTCAAAGGCTTTGGAAATATCCAAGGCTGAGGCATGTGGTGGTGGATATGGCAGACTGGCTCCATACTCACAGCCATCTACAGAAAATGGTGGATGATGCCAATAGTTTTAAATTGCTCACTTGTCACTGAACCAAATAACAGTGCAAAGTGGAGTCATCAGCAAGATAAGAGACTACATTAGATTTCTTGTGAAGATCATTGATGAACAATAGGATAAGAGTAAGAAACAAAACAGGACCTTGTTTTAACACCACAGTTGATGGAAAAAAGAAGAGGTAGATGGATAACCATCACCAATAGAAGCAAAACATATCAGAGAAGCTAGAAATAAATGCAAAAAGAAGGTGGAAAACTAAAGGATGCAACAATTGAGAATGAGTTGAGCCACATTTTCTCAAAGGCTTAGGAAATACTGTATCTAAGGCTATGGCAAAATATTCACCATTCCTGTATTCATAAAGTGAAATCAGTCATATATATGGAAGAAACGTGGGAAACTAAGTAAAAACAGGCCTTACAGAAAACATGCTTGTGGATCAGAGATTACAACTCTAGGTGTTTAAGAAGATTTTCACTAAGGGGTGATTCACTCAAGATGGCAAAAGCAATAGCAAAGGAATGATTTAAAAGGGGTTAAAACACACACACACACGCACACACTTCTTCTGGACAGATTGACCTAGAATGTCTGCAAGAGGAGGGGAAAGTTTAAGAAAGCATGAACATTAAAATAAGCAAGCTAAAATAGGCGCAAGCTCAGAGGAACACCTCTTTAACATGACAACTATTCCTGGCTGTAGAGACCTTTCCTCTCGTGGTTCCTCTAGCACCTTATATAACCCTGCCAGTGCCTAAGAGTTATCCTACTGGATTGTTCATTATATCTAAAAAAAAAAAAAAAAAAAAAAAAAAACAGGCTGAAACCTTAGGAAGCAACAAAATGTAACAGCCCAGAAAAGGAATATGAACCAGAAACAAAAAAAAAAAAATGGGAAAAATTTGCTAATTTTTTTTATTATACTATACCTTAATGGTGAAAGCAACACCATCTGTTGGGAACACTAAATCATCTCTTCTATCGACAAAAAGCTCATGTCGAAGAGCAGATTTGAGCGAGTGCCCAGCTTGTTCACGAACAGCAAATGCAGTGGAGCGAGACAGACAAGTGATGTGCCGCCAGGCTCCATCAAGAACCAGTTTTTGCTGAACCTGTTATGGATTTTAGTTACTTGTTAATCAGTCCATATAACTGATGCACCCTAAATTATAAATTTATGTAGGTATATATTTATACACATGAACATTTATTGTATTCATAACAAGCTATATGTATGTACTATATTGAAATTAGAGTGTAAGTGGTATTACCATGAGGGTTTAGGAAGTGCTCCAGTCTTGTGTGCTAAACATTTGGTTAGTAATCTAGATTTTACTTTTAAGTTTCAAGTTATTATGAGCTACATGCATGCAAATTTCAGTAACTAAATATCCGGAAGGAACACTCATGAAATATCCTACATAAGCTCCTAATTTCAAGCAGAATTTTTGCTAATGAGAGGGTAATGGATGGGTGAAATAGAGGAATTATTGGAGGTAAACTTCACACACAAGTTCAAATGTTATGTGACGACCCATGGGGCCAGGAATATACTATAATGGATGGCTTTATAATTAAGAGGAAGGGTCCTGGAGTTGCACCTCAAGAACAGTAGTCATCTAAGAATAAACCATGAGGAACTCTGCTTGCCACTTCCCTCCACACTGATATAGATTCAAATATTAATCATACCAAACCAAAAAAAATAGCTTTAATATAAAGCATTTGCCACATGAATTCAGTCTGAATAGATTATGACCATGTAACCAAAAGTTTACAATATTGTACATATATGAAAACTGTACGTACACTGGCTGCTGAGTTGAAGGCTAGTGTGAGCAAGAGACCACGGTCAAGTTCCTTGTAACCTGACCAAGGTGCTTCAGCTCCTTGTTGGTACACGCTGCTTGTAAAACTGATGAAAAAAATTATGACCAACAATATTAAAAAATTCTAACAGTCTCATTATGGATTAAAATATTTCCCTGAGAAGTTGAAATGTCAGTCTCAATACATTGGTTCAGTAATAAACAAGAGGAATTTCTACGCGAGCGGCTGAAACAAGAATACGTCAGGGAAGGAAAGTAGCTTTGGTACGAAAGGTCTGCCTAAGAAGAATAAGTCAGGAAGATGGGTGGCCAGAGGGGTACCTTTTCCTTGACCTTTTTACAATACTTTAGCTTGATTTTGTTTTATTTACTGTTATTCTGTGTTCTTTTATCGGGAAATCAAGTATCCATATCCCCCACTTTACCTTTTAATTATTTGAACTTTATTTTATGGACTATGACTCCATGATCACCTTTAACATAGGCTTTTAGAAAACTATGTTAAATGCTTTATATAACATTTGCATTTTGGTTTTCTTCTACTGTTCCATGATTTTATAATAGTGGTTGAGTAATTGTAAAAGGCAGGATTTTCCAGGAAAATATCAATGTTGACCCGAGTTGTGTAGATACTTATTCTCCATAAATCACTCTTTAATGATGTGTGTGTTGTTATGGCAAATAGTATATAGTTTTTGCCAACAGTTTGCTACCTCTCTTCTGGAGAGGAGCTTTTATCGGCAAATTGAAATACTTTTGATATCTCACCAGTATGCAAGGTTTTTCTTCATATAACAATAAATACTCTTACTGATAACTTGCATTTCTTCATAAATACGGAGTTCCAAGAGTTACAGCCCAGGTCCGAGTGCATGGGTTTACCGTCAACATTTTTATCTTTCAAAGTTTGCTAGGTTTCTATCGGTTATATTGTTACAGCTGATGATATCATTCGTGAGGAATCCGTCAGGATCTTTAGCTTCATGATGTTAATTGGGGTGTTAAACACCCCCATTAACATGTCCATATGAATGGACAAGATGGTAATAAGATTTATATCACAGGCAATATGTAATGGTTACCTAAAACAGTTCCAAAACTTTCACAAATATGTATGTATTATAGGTTTGCATCCACAAAAGTCTTCCAAGGCATAAATAAGTAGATTTTATTAAAACTAAACTACGTACGTCAGTAAAGAAGTTGCATCTTTGTCAGAAGCTAGAACTGGTCTACTTACAATGATCATCAACATATAATCATCATACCACATCTGTTTTCATGGTGCAGCAAGGCACCCACTCACAATAAACAGGAAAGCATTATATATAAATAATGTGTACTGATTCCTAATGACAGCTGTATAATAATTATTACAAGAGTACACTTTTAACAAACTATGATCATACAATATAAGGAGCATGTTTATTAAAGCTAAGCCTAACTGAAAGGCAAGATATAATCCAGACTCATTACTTCTGTAATGAAAATTTCAGATTTTAATGCAAATTCTCTCCCATGATTAATGAATATAATTTTAACTGCAAATATTTGTATAAAAACAATAAAAAAAATGGTCAAACTTACACAGTGCTAGCCTCATTATGGAAAGGTTTAGTAAATGTAATGAAAAAGGAGGATGACTTCTTTGTGCCATGGGAGTATTCGCAGCTCAGCTCTTCACCACGGCCAAATATGTTCTTTAACATGCCGCCTGTTGAAACTGAGCCCTCATTGTTCCCTATGCTGGTATTTGCCTTGGCTCCCCAAGACTTCAATTCCCGCACCTCAAATGTCACCTGAACAGATATTATTAAGCATTAAAAACTCTTCATAAAATTTCTGTGATGTTAAGTCTCCACCATTCTTTAGGGGTACAGATGTTTCTGAGACAAGGGACAAGATTTAGGAGTTCAGTAGTAGACTAATCATTCCTTATGGTGGACTGCAGTCTCCCATGGACTCAGCCAGCATTAAGAGTACGAATATATTTGCTGACTGAACAGGTTAGAAGAGTGAAGGGACCAACAGATGCATGCCAAATAGCATCAAATTCTAGAGACTGGTGATCAGATACTAAGTGCCACGTGTACAATTGATAGAGTAATATCTATAAAAGGTATACAAAAATTCTGAACATCATAATAAATATACATGTTCTGTACTGTCCAAACCAAATGGGTCCAAACCAAACTGAAACATCGAAATATCAAAACACACCTTTTCATACAGTTTTAAAATGAATTTTTATGGTAACTCTTAATATGACTCCAATCTCGTTTATAGTGACTTTCATAAAGAGGTACAATATTACAATGCCTTTGGGAAAGCAATTGAACATATTTAAAATGAAATTCTATGGTTCACTGTAATTTTGAGATTTCCCAGTTTTCATTCATTAATATGAGTGCTTTATCCTTGGAAAACGAGATTCTAAAGATAGGGCATGGGAACTATACTCGATGTAGTTAAAGCTCTTTACAGACATAGTTATAACCCCACTCCTGTGCCAGGTAAGTCCACTACGGGCTCACCATAGTCCGTGCTACCTGGAACTTTTTGTTCCGAGTAGCCGAATCTAAAACAAAAACCGTCTCCAACCCCCTTGCTGTTACAAACCTACAAATTGTTAGTAAACAAATGATACACTGTGGAAAATGAGGAACGTGCTCAGTACTATAACCTGAGAGGAATTCTCTGAGATTTCCTTGCACCAAGCCAAAAAGTAGCGATTAATTGTTTTCAAGAGACGTTTTACTTTCAAGCAACATACACCATCAAAATGCCACAGATTTGGACTGAAAATCTTTATACTCTTGTGATTGTAAAACCAGAATGGTGACATATACTGTATTACATTCCAGTACCAATGTAGACATACCCAGTCACAATCCTCATGGATTTTCAGGAAGTGTGGTAAAGACGCTCGTGGAACCACTGCTGAACATGGAGGACACTAGGTTTCCACTTGAAAATAACACAGGAGTCTGTGGCACAATTGTCACACATGACTACAATAAGTTATTAATAAGTATAATAATATGAGATTGGTGTACAAATCTGACATAATGGTAGGCACTGTGTAATGTGTATGGAAAATGCAAAGTGGACCAGGAAATATTTTTTTTCCATCTTGTGGATGTAATTGTTGCAATGTGTATTTGGTAAAATCGGGCAAATACTAGATGGCTTTGCAGTACACAAGCTTTGTTACATACCAGGTAGAAGACTTTCAAAAGGTATACCTGAGTGTGTTGTCTCCAAGTACTCACAAAGAAGACAGAAAAAGCAAAAATCAGTACAGTATGTACCTAGTGCACAAAATGAAAAGTTGCCTTGTGTGCCATTGACAATTATTGGGAAACTATTTAATGCTAGGTGAACAGAGGCATCAGCTAGGTGAAAGGAAAAATGCCCAAATGACTCTCTCCTATTGTGCTACAAACAAACTTGGAACTTTAATGTTGCAGACCAACTGCACTGACCACTACACTGTAGAACTTATTGTGAAGGTTACAAATCAATTTCCCTACCTCGATCCCATCCTCAAGAGCGTCTGGTCCATCATAAGTGTCAATGTAAACTCCAACATCCTTAAAACACCCTAAGTTGGACAATCTAGTTCTGGCTTCATGTATTTTCAAAATCACCTGCAAAAGATGTAAAACTTTAGACCTTCTGGCTTTAACATAATTTTTACCTAAATCTGAAATGAACTTTCAATAATAAAATGACCATATGAAAGCATATAACTATAAATATTTTACAGTACTGTAGTTTCTGTAATATACTGTACCACAAAACACTAATGCCCTCATTAGTGTATACTGTACCACAAAAACACTAATATACAGTCATATTTTGAGCTATTCTACTTGGTTGTTCCCTACCGCAAGATCCTGCTGACCAATGGTTAGTATCGGCTAAATTCAGAGCAGGTCAAATTTCCATACCGAAAGGGCTGTGAATTTTTCAACTATTTCATTGCAATAAATGAGAATGCTTGCTTTGTGAAACAAAAAAATAATAATCATTTAATATGGTAAGAGTTTAAAAAATGAATTGAAGCAATATATTTCAACATCGCCAAATGGTTGTGCAGTACTGCAGCTTGGGCCTGGAACCTGCAGCCATTTGGTGGTGATGGAGGAAAACATCACTATGGTCGATCTGAAAGCTTTATTTGTATTAGATATGTATATTGGATGTTTATTCTATGAATAAATCTGCAAAGCATCAAGTGCTTCTTGTGCCACTACAAAACACTGTTCTTATTTACTCCATCTATTTTATTAAGTGTTAACTAAATAAGAATATGCAGTGTCAAAATGAGCTTCAAGGCATTTTCAATCCATAATGCATTTGAAAAAATTCTGAAACTGAAATTAACTATCTGTATTGAAAAATTACCTCATACTTACAGACTGGAAGTCTTGAGCACTAAAGACATCACGCACTGTGTTGATGACTATGTCGTCTTTAGTGCGTGCTAACCCATCAACATGCACACGCTGGACGTGAGCCTGAAACAAGTAGCAATCATTTTCAGATTATTTTCTATACAGTACTTGAAATGCATATTAGAAATGTAAAACGCCAATTAGTATTAAATACTGTACACACAATTGAACATCCTCAATAATTAGACACGCCTGAAGGACAGCAGTTGTGACTTTCACACCGGCGCCTAGTTGCACGCGTTCACACCGGCGCCTAGTTACACGCGTTCACACCGGCGCCTAGTTACACACGTTCACACCGGCGCCTAGTTACACACGTTCATATTGGCATGTAGTTATACATGTTTATATTGGCGCCTAGTTACACACATCCATATTAGCTCCTAGTTATACGTTGAAATCAGCTTCTAGTTACTATCATTCATATCAACTCCTAGTTACACATTCATAACATAATACTGTAGCACAGATGATTGAATTTTAATAAGTTCTTGACTCATACATTCTGTTTAAAGATATTTATCACACAACAAATAAAGAAAACTCATCTCATTTTTAATATATTATTCTACATTAATAAATGAACATTTGACAAAAATTAAATATGAAACTTCATCACTGGAAATAAGATACTGAAGATAAGCCACTAGAGTATGGTATTAAATGCAAAACACTATACAGTACTGTACTTCCAATGATTATTCTTCTACTACTGAAATATTAACAAATTTAATTAACCAGTATATATTTAAAATTCCAATAAAAGGTGTTCACACAAGGAAAAAGGGAAGAACAAAACCCATGCACAGCAAATCCTTGAAATCCCACCTTAAGAAACTTCATCTTCATTTGCATACCATGAGCCTTTAACTTGGCTAGTTTATCTCTAATCTTTATAAGCTTTCTTTCCCTCTCTTTCACTTCAGTTTTTAGCTGAAAAACAACACATTTACTGTATCATCTCAAAACTCTTTAAATGTCATATTCATTAGATTAAATGTTAACAAGATATTGCATACAGTACAGTATATTTCTCTCACTGAAGGATAATATTAACATGTACCTTTTTTTTCAGACTATAAAGTGAATAGTACCATTGTCCATTATGTCTACATATGTACGATGGTCTACACAGTTACCAAAAATACTATCTAAACAGGAGGATAGGGTTGATGAAAGAACCCAACTGACAACCACTCTCCATGATACTTAAAGCAGTAATATACTGTAAATCAATAGGCCCAAGCCGAAATCTTCCCGATGAACCAGTGTTAGTTTTTAATTTACTGTATTAACTTGCTCCTTGGAAATTACAGTACTGTATTCCCACCAGCTTCTTTTAAAACTCCAAATGAATCACAAATATCTTGCAAATTGACAGAAATTTATCTTCCAATCTTATCCAATTTGTGGCAGCTTCTCCAGACCTAAGAATGGAGTAACTTGAACACTTCTGGCCCCACTGGGTAGAAAACAAAAATTATGGATATATCATCTTACCTTCAGAGCCTGAAGATCCATTCTGCTGCCCTCACTTTCATCTGTCTCTGGACTCTGAAAATTATGAGATATTATGAGATCTATTTGACCCTAGTATAACAATACCTGTATATGAATAAACACTTTCACTCGAAGATACTTGCATTTTAATTATTGTAATCTGAAAATATATAATGTACATATAACAATTTATAACCACAAAGGAAAAATCAAATAGGGAATTACGTTAGCACATATATATATAATACATGTATCACATATATACATACCACTACCATCCACAAAATTGTTATGGGGTGCATAATAAATTATCTAAACTAAACTATTGAATATCCACTACACTGAATGTGTATGTAAATCACAGAAATTAACATGTGATGAACATTCATCACAATGTGACAGTGTCAGACCATGAAGGAAGGAAAGGATTTTTTTTTTTTTTTTACCAAACCGATGGTACCTAAAATGGTTATACATGATTCGACCAGTCCCCCACTATTCCTAACCACTGTCCCATCCCAAATTCTTATCCTGATCCCTTCCAAGTGCTATATAGTTGTAATGCCTTGTCACTTTCCCCCAATAATTCCCTCCCTACTAATCTAACAGAATACTTTAGCTGCTGGAATAAAAGAAATATGTTTGGCACACCATGTATAATAACTACCAAGCTATTGTACCATTACCTCAGTAGTATACAACCCATTTGTTTGTTCAGTCGTCACTGATGTATCTAATTGTCACAAGTTTCAGTAAAGTGTGTACATTTATCTACTAATAAGAAAATTAAATTCAAACAAACTAAGAGCCCAGCTGTGTGTCCACTACAGCTGTCCTCAGGTGGTGACCTTGCTGGAACCAGCTGGCAATCTCATCCCTCATTATAATCAAAACATTATTGTGAAAAATCCCTCTCCAAGGCCTCCACTAAACATGATAATTCTTGCTCCACATTCCAGCGTCACTTTAGAGAACACTTCAAAGCGAGGAGATACGTCTCCTATCTCACCTGAGGAGTGCACAGGGGAGGCTGAGGTGAACACAAGGTGTATTGAGCAGGTCAATCTACTCACTTTTGCGTGGACGGTGCCCATTGTGAAGGCTCATGCGGTCACCCTCCTGTGTTTACCTCCGCCGGCCGGCCCAGCTGACTCCTCACTCATGCCACAACACTCTGGGGAAAATATCTTACAATACCATCTTTATTCCATCACAAAATAAGACTAATTATTAACATAAATATAATTATCATCTATAAATGAACGTTTATATTCATAAATTATTTATTTTAGTAACTAAATGCGTTTTCGTTAAATCAAATGATATAATTTATTGGTAACATTTTTATAATTTATTTAATTGATTATATAATTTTGCTCCTGTGGCGAGAATCTGTAATAAGAGTAGTGGCTATTCTGGCTGGTGTTGTGCCAATCACACATTAATGAAAAAAAGTAAAATAAAGTAAATAAGACTGCCTATGTCCTCTACTATGCGAGAGCCAAAGGTGCAATTAATACATTATACAAAAGCTGTACGAGTCTACCAACACCTGGGAGACCAAGAGTAGATATTGCAGCTGAGAGCAGAAGTGTGCTCTGATCACTGGACGTTGTGTTATAGATTCAGCTACTCGGGACAAGTTCCAAGTAGCACGGGCTATGGTGAGCCCGTAACTTACCCGGCACAGGAGCGGGCCAAGTAGCACGGGCTATGGTGAGCCCGTAGTGGACTTACCTGGCACAGGATTGATTGATTGATAAAGATTAAGCCACCCAAAAGGTGGCACGGGCATGAATAGCCCGTAAGTGGTGGCCCTATTTAGTCATTACCAGTATCAAGAGCTGATACTGGAGATCTGTGGAGGTGCGACTGCACCCTGCATGACGGGAGATGTCTCCCCCGTCCTGGCACAGGACGCTGGTGAGTGACCGTGAGTCACTTATATATGGGCCAGGCCGTCAGAAATGGCGCGAATCTTGTAGGTAACCATCGACCGGCAGTTAAACAAGCGGTTAGCAAGAAAAAGGGTCGTGTTCTACTTTTTTTTAATTACTTACTAAAAGGGGTACCCAGTGGTGGATGGGATAGCCTCTCTCTCACCCCTATTCCACCCTCTTCTCTCTCCCTCCCCTGCCCCTTTTTCCAAACCATTCCCTCCCCTCTCTTCTCTTCCCACCCCACCCCCATCCCACCCCACTTTTTCTCCCTCTTCCTCCCCATCTCCTTTTCCTCTCTTTCCCATCTGGGCTCTAACCTTGAACAGAAACAGTTTCATTCAAGCTCAGGTATGTTTATTGAGATAGAAAATACATCCCAGGACAGAGTAACTTAGGCTATTTCTACCCCCTTTCCATCTAATACTGAACTCACCTTCATCACTTTAAAGTGAAAAATCAAGAGATTTCCCCAGCCATCTTTCACTGGTTTTGTGTGTGTGTGTGTGTGTTGGGGGGGGGGGGTTACTATTTTGCCTTCCCTCTTCTTAATAGAGATAACAGAACTGAGCCCAGCCAGGCTATATCCATCCTGTATGCCAGACCATTTCCCCTGCAAAGTTGGGTGACACTAACCCCAAGCATCTGACCTCCAACCTAGGACAGACAGGCATTTTCTCTTAGATACGTTTAGGTACACAGCAGTGTGCTAATGCCGTTTAATATGAAAGATTACAGTGTTAATGTGAAGGGCTACCTATAAGTTTAACTATTATCCTCATTTCACTCATCACCAGTTTCAGGCTTATCTAGTTATACCATTAGCTTATTTCCAAGTAAAACTTTGTTATACATAAGATTATAAGTTTATTAGGCCATAATAGCTAGAAATATGTAAAATCTTGCAAAGTACCAGGATTTGTATACAAAAACAAAATTTCCTTAAATTTCCATATTGGAAAACATCATGTAATTAAGACAAATTCATTCAAGATCAACCCAATACAACAAATTGTAATGTATGTTTATGTGTAATATGTTTGGTTGATTAGATACACAGAGTTTAGTGTTTTTTTATATTTATTTAGTAGTCTTGGTTACAGCAGTCAGTTTGTTAGCAATGTATTGAAGTGTCTTAGGAGTTGAGACGAAGCCTGTAGCAGGGCAAAGAGCTGAGTGAGGCCGGAGGTAGAGAGCTCGCATGTGGGGTGAGTCGTAGAGCGTGCCCCTCTGAATGCGGGTGGAGTCAAGGAGCTGGGTGTGGGACGAGAGCGTGGAAACTCGATGCAGCCTGAGTCTGGCTGTCTGCTCTGCTCTGTCTGCTCGAAGCTGAAGCGTCTTGGAGTCGGTTGAATCTGAACACTTCGAGTGTTATGTTCTTACTGGTGAATATTGAAGATGTGCGGTATATCTCAAGTGTCTGTACTGAACCACTTTTGAAATTAGACTGAAGATTATTCAATTTGATTGATTGATGAAGATTAAGGCATCCAAAAGGTGGCACGGGCATGAATAGCCCGTAAGTGGTAAGATTTTTTTGGAGTGAATGTAATCTTTGGTCGTAACAGGATATACTGTTCAGTACTGTGTGCTGTGCTCGCATTTAAATCGTCAGTCCTCACTATGTGGACTATGGAGTAGTCTTTGCATTTACAGCTTTTGTGAGCAGGCAATTCTATGGATTTATTAGCCTATGGGTGATAAAGCATCACTTGTTTTATCCTACACTGTGGCTTAATGAGCTTACTACTTGTATAAGCTGCAATGAATTTTTTAAACAAGTGGTCTGGCTTCTAATTATATTAGAAGAAAGAGGCCCCCTACCTCTCCAGGTATGAGAATCAGTTTAGTCCTGGGATGATTTTTTGGGGTGAATTCTCCATGCCCAGATACAGTAGTCCAAATGGGGATTGTATCTGGGATTTGAACAGCTGAATAACCACTTTCCTTTCCATGAAGTCAAAGCTCTTCTGAAGTATAGCTGGTTCCTACTGTACACTATATACTTTAGCTTACCCCACAGGTACATGTCCAATGAGATTAAATCATGCAAATATTGTGGTACTTAACTCTTTCTCTTTGTCTTATCCACCGACCTGGAAAATTAGCTTAATGGTTGGCCCTGACAGTGATGAAAATGTGGAGGGATGTCCATCCTTTTTATACAAAAGCTTCTCATCACTATACACCTAAGGGATGTTAAACAGTATAGTATGAAGACTACACAACACCTGCTCAATATTAAAAGATAACCTCATTACAGTTTATAAGTATATGGATATGTAAAAAATTATAAGGATAGTTTATATATAAATATACATTTTGTAACTTTATTGAGCAATTCATGACTAGACAATATCACAGACACTGAGGATAGGTATAACAAGTCACCTTCAACAAATACAAATATCACAATAATGTGCTATACAATGCAAGGTACAAGTGTATGTGTGAACAAGAAATTCTCATTGTTATGCTTATAAAACAAAAGGAATGAGTGGTTGCTGAAGGTGTTCTTGTTCAAATAGTAAAAAGAAATCCTCAGCCCTTAAGGCTTTAGTTACAAATTTAAATCTGCTGGGTTAATTCCACAATACAGAAGTGTTTAGATGACCTATATAATAATCCATAATTTACTGTATATAGATACTATATAACTCTTAGTATCTGTATAGGTAGCCACCTTTATATGCCTTATACATGTACTGTACTCTGCCCGAGTTTAAGTAACATGAATTTCAACCTGCACAATTTAGTTTTGAGCTTAGTTAAGGTGGGTTCTCCCATATGTGAAATGGCAAACAAAATTTGTGTAGCCAAGACATTGTATTGGTGCACAATACTGCAATACCATGCTCTGACTATGTAGCTCATGTTTTACGCAATTTCTAAACTACATTCATGGCATCTATCACACATCATGTATGTACATGTATGTAAATGCCGTACTGTACTGCATTTACTGTACACATACTGTGTATCATATATTGTACTGCATTTGTGGCTACAGTATTTAGTAATAATATCCTGTTAGGCATTACGTATATTCTGAGAATAGTGAAAAAACATTACACACACAGATTGCAGCCTGCCTGTCTGTATAGTAATTCAATTCATTTTAACACCATTTGAGGTGCTGTATTGTACTGCATGTGAATTCCCAGTTATATAATTATCAAATATATGGTATGGTTACAGGCAGCTCAGGAGTTAACACATGTGGGCTGCTCCTCTGCAATGGAGGACATGAGCAATGTTGGAATAAAATACATCTAGTAAATGTGGTTATCATCTCAGGATAAAGCATTAGCCATTTAAGTAAAAGGCTATTTGATTTATCTTATTTTCTTGAGAAGTCTAGCATAAATGTACAAGCAGCAAAGGAAAGAAATATTTATCTTTCTAAAATATGCTCTTTTGTAAATATTTTAGCCAAACCAAAGTGACAGTTTGGTTTTATCTGTTACACTCAGTATTCTGGGGACAAGTCTTCATAAAAGATCCCTTGACCAAGCAGCCTACCTCCAGGGAACTAAAACCTAGCCTGGAACTTTGCTTTCTCCGTACTGTAGATTGTTCTTGCCTGTGCTGGAAGACTACCATACATGAATTTAATAGACATATTTGTCACTATTATATTTAATTTTGTTAAGAGTAAAAAATTTTCTTTCCCATTTTACATCATGTATTCCTGAAGGGATATACTGTACTGAATATTATAAATCGCTCTTCAACATTTTGGAAGAAAAATCTATCTCCATTAAAATGTGCTCTGAAACTAACAGAATTCTCTTGAAATGCTTCTTAAGCTTATTTATACTTGCATTTATACTACAGTGAATAACAAGCTTCTAATTTTACATTGATTTCTTAGGTGATGAGAAAAGACACCACTTAGGTTCATTTAGACCAGTGCTTCTAGTTGATAAGCAAGGCACTTTATTTTTTTTAAATTAAACTTCTTGGCGAGCACAACAAATATAACACATACCGAGTAACTTGCACACTATATAAAGTGGACACACATTTCTATAATGAATGTGCCAATAAACTTAACACAATTGTTTACCATAAAAATTAACCTGGATTACAATATTATTGTATATAAATGAAAGTAATTTAATGATGTAAGAGAACTGTAATCCACATTTAACTACAGTAAAAGTTTTTAATTAGTAATACAGTATTCTGATCAACTCCAATGTTAAGTCAGACTTTAAACTCACTCTCTCTAGGGGGATTTAACTTAATTCATGAACATCGAACAAGTACTGTTCTGTACTCTAACTTATTGACATGCCCTAAATCCCACTCTATATTTGCAAAAATGCCAAGCAAATAAAGGAACCTAAAGTATGGAACTCCTTTCCTAATGAGATAAAAAACTACAAAATGTATATATACAGTACTAGTATTAACAAAAGTAACAAAGAAGCTTCCAACTGCCTCACAGTGGAACCCCACTCTACTCTTATTCTCCTCATTATGCAAGCTACAATATTAAATAGTATGTACATAGTAACAACACCTTCCTGAAACGTTATGCTAGTGGCTTTACACGAATGTAAGAACTCTTGTATAAGTAAGTAAATATAAATAAAAATAAAACATAATAATACCTTATAACCTTGTGCTAGTAATTCATCTTATACTATCTAAACTAATATAATTGTTCATTATGATGACCTTCCCCTAGTACCATACAGCACTAGTGTTATACTGTATAGAAATAGTCAACATTTTAACATTTGTATCCACCAGCATGTTAATTATACATATAATGCATCCACTAGTTTTAAGTAATATACTTATTTAATATAAATTTTACTTTTATTAACTTTCTAATCACTGAACATTTTCAATGTACTGTATACTTTACCTATTTTGTTCCCTTTAATATTGGTTTCAAATGCAATACTGCCTATTATTTAAGTTAAGCATCATTTTGCCTATCAAATCCTGTCTATTAATAAACCCCTTGTATATGTTTGTCTGCCAGCTCCAATCTGATTGCCAATCACATTACTGTATATCTATCAACCAAATTCTACCTGTTTATCAAACAAAACTGACCTATCAAAATATATCTACTGTACTTATTTAAACACATTCCATCAACATTGAAATGTGGTGCAGCTGGAGCCCTGAGCCTAACTAGAGTAAAGTACAAAAAGTTACCCTGACATGATATATACTAAATATGTCATAAAAATATGTGATACAATCTAAAATAGTTAAATTAAAAACTGTGTACAATAAGTATTAAAAATATAAAAAACATTAAAGCTAGCAGAAAGCAATCATCGAGTGGATCATCACTAAGAATGTAAAGACGTAAGGAGCTAGGTATAACTGTTCCCAAGATATAGAGGCATGAGGAACTAGTTGTAGATGACTATCATGTAGAGTGAAGAACTAGTTGGAGTTATTCTCAGAATGTACAGGAGTGAAGAGCTATTGGTAGTCGTCGCCATCCTCATCTGGTGGGTTCTGCTCCACCTCCTGGTAGTCCATTTCCAGTGCTGCCAAGTCTTCCCGAGCCTCTGCAAACTCGCCTGAAATATGGCAAAGTTCATCAGAGTTGTGAAACAAAAAGTATCAAGAGATATTAAGGGATATTTTGGAAATAATCAAATTCACAAAAAATAAAAACCATTAAGTTTATACTGTTAACCATTATAAATGCTAAAAAACAGAACAAGGATTAAAATACTGTAATACCCAAAATTCACCTGAAATATGAGATATTTTTCTGGCTGGAATAGCCAAGGAAATAATGAGTAAGTCTATCAACAATCACCTAATTTGATTTGATTATTACTTTTATCAAATGTTCCTAAATATATAAAGGTCTAATTATACAAGGCTAATAATGGAGAGGCAACAGACAAAGGCAAACATATAGACACGACAAGTGCCAGTCCAATCTAGGGACAACATATTATCCAACAATACATTTGTCCATTTACAGTGTAAATGCTGCAAAAGCTGCTCAGGTAACTAGAAACTATATAGAAGTACATGTTGCACAATACAGCAGAAGTGATATAATATTAACAAGTAAGACCAGATATAGTAAGGGAAATGACCAAAAAAGTGAAAAAATAAAAATGACCTTATAATTTAAGAATAATATCTTTCATTACATAGCAACCTGGTGTCATGCACCAAGCTTATGCTCCCAAGCTGGCAACAGTTGTTAAATAGTTACAATAATAGGCAAAGTGCAAGGTGGTCTATTAGTGATTCTTTCATGTAAATGACTAGTTACAGTGAAGGACAAGCAAATGGTCATCCAAAATACAGTCTTACATGACACCAAAATTATCATTCTTCAAAAATTTCTTTACTTTTAGTTTTAAATTTTTACTATGCAATTTCCTTTTGTATAATTGACCATTGTTAACAGTTTTCCAGCATGCAGACAACAGTATTTGTGAATGCAATATGCACAAGTCTACCAGTTTTAAACTAACACCATTCTGTGATCAATAATGCTTTCCTTGATACTACAATTTCCTTTCAATAAATTGTATTTGCCATTACAGTATGGCATAAGCACCTTCTAGCTGTATGATGCTTTTATTTATCCTCACTTTTTTCCTTTGTGTATTTAATATAAGCCAAACTTTATCCTTTTCCTTCATACAAATTCAAGCCGATTCAAATCTTCTTTTCACACATTTATATTCTCATTGCAAGACCATGGTAACTACATACAATATGCTGTCACATATCATTCTTAAAATTCATATTTTAACCACTGTCTCTAAGTGACCATAGTAGAGAGAATCAGCCCAAGGATTGTGAAGGTTCCCTCTCATTCTTCCTGATGAGCTTTGTCAGGTGGATTTTGAATTGTAGCACCATCTTTGACTCGGCAGCTTCAGTGGGTAAGTGGTTCCATAAATTTATTGATTCAAAAGCAAGTTTTGGAAACCCATAGGTATGATGCACCCCTGAACTGAAAGAAGAGCTTAGGAGCTCTTCCAATCCAATTCAGCTAAAAGGCATCCACCATGAGAGCTTTGCAATTAGGGGAATAGAACCTTGTAGGAGGGGCAATGCCAGTTCCTTGCCAATGCAAAAAGGTCCACCTTGGGATGACCGAATGTTTTGCAAACCCAATAGAAGGACATGAAAGTGATGGTCCCCTCAATGGAAATGGGACAGAAGAGAGATAACCTATCCATGAGAATGTTGAACACATACTGCACATAAACCACGTGGAGAACAAAATACCAAGAATCCAGAAGCGAAGCCACACAAAGGATCCAGTTCCAAAGAGTAGAATTGAAGAAACCTTCTGAATGAACCACAGGGAGAAGTCAGAATGGAACCAGAGAATGGAGCCCAGAGGCTCCTTGGCTTCTGGATTCTCAGTGTTTTATTCTCCACACAGCCACAAACTCGCACATGCACTACTCACACACGCACTGTTTACCCAATGGACCAACCCCAACCACTAACCCTGGAAGGCTTGATGAGCCTCCCATTTTTGCTTTTCCCACTTTCCTGCGGGTGTTGTCGCACAAGTTATCTGGGATGTTGTTGTCTATCATATTCTTGATGAATGTTGTGTTTTTGGAGCTCTGATCCTGTATTTTTTTCAGAGGCATTCTGGTATGGTTAAAGCCTTGCTATTGTTGGTCAGGGTAGGTCCTTAGCCGAGTCAGATTCTTGGGCCATTGCACTTCTTCCTTGCGCAAGCCTTTCATTTTTACCCTTTGTTGGCCCTGTGAGGGTTGGGGAGGAGGCACTAGACCCATTTTTGCCTGCTCCTAGTCCCATGGTTTGTAGGCCTTTGGTCATCTCACTTGACCGTCGGTGCTGTGGGTTTCTCTCCTCTCTACTGGTCTAGTGCTGTTGGGTCAGGAGTTGGGCCCTCCTCTACACTCGATCTTTATTCTGTAGTGACTTTAGTACCTCCTACAAACATCCTGATCTCTTCCCTATGGCAGAGATCAGGGAAAATTGCAGAGAGACAGCCGACCAGCGAGAGGGGCTACAAGCAGATAAGCATGAGACCAGGCTCTCTCTTGCTTCCTCCTCAGGTTTGTACAGTTATAGAATGTGTGTGATAATCAGTGACGCATTTGCTTAACCCTTGTCTGGTGGATATTAGGATGCTAAAGTACCATGCATGGCCTTGGGTATCTCCTGCTGTCCTTATCTTTTCAGTGGGTGGCCCAATTGTGCCCGGTCCCTACATGGGACTTGGTGGATCTATAGTGCATTTTTGTTTTCTTGAGTTTGGATGGCTTCCTTTCCTGATCATATTTCCAAATGTATCCTTTGATGTACCAGGTAACAGTGCTTCACCACTGCCAACCTGTCACCAGTTCTTCCTCAGTGGATGCCTTGTTGGTTGACCCTTTTTTCCTTGGTCCCTGTTCTGAGGCTTGTTTTCCTTTGGTTGTCCACAGTGTCATTATAGCTGGTCATCCTATGGTCTACCATTGGGCCCTTGGTGTCTAAGTATGCGACACTGGCCGAGATTTTCTCCATGTCGTGGGCTGGTTTTTGGGCTCGGGGTTAGATTTCTAACAGGATCTTGACAGCCCATTGTTTGGCCCATGATGATGTTCCTTGTTGGTCTTTTGTGATTCTGGACTGGATGTCTGGCATGTAATCTCTTTTGAGTAGTACCAACTATTTCTCTTCCTCCCTGGTAAGTCTCATGCTTCACCACGTAAAGCTGTGGTAAGTTAGTTTGAGAGAGCCATTAATGGGCTCCTTCCAGAAAACCAACTTTGATTAAAATTAAATGCCTTTTTCTGGAAGAGCCCCAGTGGCTCCCTGACTCCCTCCCTTGCTACCAGGTTTGTTAATTCGTTGTCCATCAGCTCCAAACTAGATGATCGGGCGAGTGTGGGTCAGGGCTCCGGGCCACCTGGTGGGGGCTATCAGTACTAGTTTTGAGTGACTCATTTGTTTCCCCAGGAGAGTTTGCCAAGTCAATTGACTGTTTCAATACTGCATTTTCAATGAACCTTGCAGTTATCTGTAAAGCTCCTCCGACTTTCTAGATGCTTTCTTGATTGGGGTGGGGATACAAAAAAAAAAAAAAAAAGTTCTTTGCTCTCCACACCTCTGTGAGGGGGCTATGTTCTTGCTTTTGTTTCCAATAGGCCAAGTGGCTTCCTGCAACTGATGTGACCCAGTAGTGGAGAGCCATCTTTGCGAGATAGCTTTAGGGAGCCACTTGGGCGCTACCAGAAAGAAGCCTTTCATTACATTCAAAGCTGGTTTCCTGTTTATACATAAAACTGTCCACCTAATAGGTGCTTGAAGAACAAAATCTATATTTCCTTCATTAAGGTTGTTCAGAAAGTTTTTGTTTTTAATACCAACATCCAATTTCCTTGCTAGATTTTTATAAATGTCACTTAATGCTTTAGAATGGTGACCAAAACACCTCAAAATGGCCTGCCTCAGGTATGCTCAGATCTAGTATTCTTCAAGAGCATCATCGTCTGGCGAGACCTCTTCAACTTCCTGGTAATCCTGCTCGAGTGCCTGCAAGTCCTCTCGGGCTTCTGCAAACTCTCCTGTGGACAAAAAAATAACTTCAAGGCAAAAATAACATACTGTACTTAATATACAGACCTACACATTTCAGTTATGAGGGTCATGCTTGCCTACATATAGTGCCATCTGCCTTTTATTACACACACATTCATAGCGAAATAGAAAACTAAACCTAACTTAACCTTAACCAATTTAATTAATAAATGCACAAGTCAGATAATCAAATAAATAAAATCTAAACCAATCTATATAAACATAAATCAAATAAAACATTACTGCAAAGAAAATGTTGCGCTGAACTGCTGATATGGAAAATAATACCAGTGCCAAAGGGATTTTCTTAAAAATTCTTTGAGGGTCATTAAAGGTACTTTGGGGCCATTAGAGAAAAGCACAATCCAGCCCAGAATGTACATCAGGGTCACATTTATAAGACTTCAAAGCCGTATCAAATCCTCACATTTAGAATCATAAGTGACTGCCAAATGAAGGCTCACTAACTACTTGTTTAAACTGGCCACCCTTGCTGACCACCACCAGGTGGCAGCATCACACACACCTCAGTGTTCCTAGAGCCAGACAATCTCTTAGTCTCCCTCACTGTATCGTGATAATTGGTTGTCAGACAAATTTTCAGTTACACATGATATATTTTCATCCTAAATTGCCCTAGCTTTCTTCTCTTAGTTCAGTGTTAGTGATATACAGAAGTCCATTTGTTCTCTAAGTTTATACCACATCATTCAAGATTCTCAAGAACAGTGTCTATGGACGCAGATGTTTGTTGTTTTTTCCACGATCTGTTCAGCTATTTCCTCATTAAGTGTGCTAGCAGATTATGCTATAAACCAAAGCTGCTTGGTGGTTAATGCAATATCAAGTAACACTTTGAAAAGCTTAGAATATATGTGCATGAACCTTCCAGACATCAAACTGAACTGAACTTTCTACAGTGTCTCCCTAGCATGAGTCACCCAGCAAGAAAATTAGAAAATATCATGGCAAGTCAGTGTGAAATGTCAAC